AATTCATATCCTTCTCGACAGGAAGTGCAGTGTATATGAAGATTATCTTTGCTATAGACTAGATTGGTATTGAGGGGATCTGGGGCATTATCAAATTTAGAGGATGAGAAATAGGATTGATAAAAGGGCATTAATTGTTGTTTCCATCCATCCAATAAGTATTTGTTTTGCTTAACACATTAAAAACAGGGACTTTGACAATCGATTTTCATATTTTTAGCCTCAATATTCTAGCATTAAGTAGCTTTAGCAATTTAGATGTCTAATTACAGGATGTTACCATCATTGTTGATATCTAGACTCTATTCAGTTTCATCCATTTGATCGTAGTATGAGCAACTGGTCAATTTATTGATATAATTAGATTTACACAAAGCACATTCCACAACTGTAGTCTGATCTCTTTGCAAGAGAGGGTAATTGAATTGGAGACTCGATGTTCTTTGACCATTGACTCTTTCGAAAGCAATCAAACAATTAGGAATAGGATTTGGATAACAATTCAAACCATCAAGTGATAGATAGTATTGATTAATGTCAACGCATCTTTAACACCTGTCAATGTCGCATATTTAACAGTTTTGACCGCATTTTACACAAGCGCCGTTATTTAGGTAAGTAGCCTTTGGACATGATGCACATTTCACCCTGCCTTAATTAATTATACATGTGGAACATTCATGAGAGGGACATTTAATACAGTCTGAATTCAGTAATTGAAAGTCTGATTAACAGGTCAGACATTTGAAGTCATCGTCACATTCAAGACAATTAAGATTGAGATTGACACAAGAGTTATTAATTATTTGATGACAAGGTTTGCAGTAGATTTTGGTAAGTTTATCCAATTAATATTACAATATGTGTGATTGTGTATCATCTGTCACTACTCCGAAACAACCCTCACAGAGACTTAAACTTCCATCCTTGCCAATCAGATAATAATCTTAATCAATCTTATCCCTTTTTATCAATTGATAAGCGCTACTCCCGTCGAACACATCTCCTTCTTGGTGTTGGATGTAATCTTGTGAGCAAATGGGGTTTTGATACCATGTCTTTTGATTCAATAAACAATCACTGCACATTATTTGAAAATCACTCTTTGATGATGGACACTTCTGACAGATTGTGGAACTGTCTCCTGGAATTAGAAATTGATCCTCTTGACACGCATTATTACGATTAGTTTACACTAATTGGAGTGATCCCAAATATGAATTGTGAGCTATATTTTAGATTCGATAATAAATACTTTGACAAGCATTGTTTTCATCTTCGTAATAATTTCGTATACACAGACATTAATTATTCTTCAACACCTTTGTTGTGGTATCCTTACAACTTAGACAATGTGTTTTATCAGGACCAAAGCAGGTTTGGCAAATAGAATGGCATCCTTTTCAAAATAACATAAGATATTTACTGAACTCAAAGACTTAATCACTTGAGTAACAATACTCCATCGCCACATTGGCTAAGAATCCATTCATAGGACTAGGACTGAACTTATCTCCTCCTAAATTTACAACTACTTAGGATTGTTTGAATTGATTCCTTCTTTAGTAATTATATTTTATGTCGTAATAATTGGGATCTGAGATTGCTCCATCCCTTATTCGAACATTAACATTAGAGACATATGATTGAACTCCTGCTTCAAACATAAAGTAATGCCATTTGGTCATCAACTCGAACATACTCAAGCCTTGCTTTTTGTAGGTGTCAAATAGAGTGGTCGTATAAAAGGATATGTAGGGGTAGTCATATGAATATGTATCAATTTAAATTGATGAATTTTACAGGTATTCAGGATCATAATGATAACTCATCATAAACAGTCTATCTCCCATAATATAATCATTTGAGTAAAACTCATAGATGGCCACTCTAACTATTGTTATATCCTAAGATGCACCATACATCTTATTTAACTTTACCCATCCTGAAAAACTAAATCTCTCCTCCCTATAGTTTTGGATTGACACTTGAGGGAAGTTCGAAGTTATTCCATCGATCAAAGGAACAAATGCTCTTGTTATTCCCATGGCATTACAATAATTATACTTTTGGCAACTCAATTAATCTAATGCTAAAAACTCTGCCAATGTCCCCAAGTAAGTGTCACTAAAGTAAAGCTTACTTCTCAGACCTCGAAACTTCAACGGAATCACCTCGTCGTCCATCTTTCGATACACTTAACCAAAAGGGGGCGTCTATATGTCGCCCACTATATACGTGTATTATGTTCCTGGATCCCTATCTAAGTTGTACCCTTTTGATTCGAAAATAAAGTCCTCAGTCATTGACCCTTTCTTTGCAAACCAAAGATAAACTTTATACTCTTTGCTTGTTGAATCGTAGCTAAAACAATGAAAGCCCCAATTCCCTTCCATAAGGAATGGGTCTAGTCTAAAACTAAAAACTCTCTCGATTTGTTGGTGCTATGCATTTTAAGGTGCTGACGCGTAGCTTTGAAATGCGTAGTGTTATATAAGAAAATAGTTATATTCCAACTCTTGAAATATCCTTGAAGCACTCGTTGTTGCATCTATCTCGTTCTTCTCGATATATAAGAGATAATTAGGGTTGTACCCTTGCAATCCCTTCATCTGTTAAAACGTAGGATTCCATTGAAACCAAATACCAATGGTCTAATAAATTGAGGATGTATGCTGAATCTCATAATCATTTTACTCCAGCAATTCTTATTGGCATCCAGACCCAAACGCAAAGCTTCAAACATAAACTGATAGTGTACTTGAATATATGAAATAGTAACAAAATTTTACCTTGAAAGTAAAACATAAAATATATTTAAACTTAATTTTCCTCTCTCTAAAACTTAATATCTTGCTCCTCAAAAATATAATATCACCTACTATTAATAATCAAAAACCTTTCGCTGATAAAAATTCAAACAGTTATCGCTTTCAAAAATATAACCATATCTCGCCCTCTTTATATTTTTATTTTTTAATTCTCATTATGATTCCACATCACCAATTAAACTGATCACCATTTTATAATTTTGGTCACACTTAGAACTATTAACCGTTACTTTCCAACCATCCTCGCGCACTTATAATCTTAATAATAATAACTGAATCGATATTGATTTAATATTATCAATTATCCTAAACATTACAGTGATCATTGACATTGTAAATGTCTTTTTACATAAGCCCAAAATCATAAAATTGTGTGGAATAAGAAGAAAACGGAATTAATTTCAAAATTTTATTACATAAGATTTAATATAATCATTAATAATTATAATTAATAATAACAATTGATATCAATCATTATGCAAGATATTATAATAATATATCAGCAGATATATTTTCAGTCTCCATATCTCCCCCAATTGATTATTATCATTGAAAAACCTCTCCATATGGGTTCCAGTTGAGAAGTTGAACATTGTCCCCATTTCCCATTCAAAAGAAATCAAGATTTGCACTGAGTATCATAACCCCAACAACAGAGTGAGTAATCAATTTTTAGAGATTAGATTCTGCTCATGTTGATGCTTCAGTAGAGAGGGGAATCTGCAATTGCTTTGGGCATAATTTGAATAAGGAATCAAATGGAAATATTATGAAGTTATGTTATGGTTGAATTATATAAAGAAAAACAAAAACGGTAATGCTGTGAGCATAATAATATTAAAAAATGAGATTTTTGATCATTGCATTGGTGATTTGTTTGGCCACATGTGCTAAGCTGAGAAGTTAAAGTCCTCAGAAATTACAAGCAGAATTGCAAAAGTCAAATTATGGAAGAGCCTTGTTACATTTGCTTGAATTGCATTCTATGGCTGGAGGAGCGGTCTCTGAATTAGTTGATGCTATTGAAGAACTTGTCAATGACTTGGATGAAGGACTCTAGTTCTTAGATTTCAATTTCTAGCGTAGAACAAATGAACACAACGCTCTTCTTGTTCAATTGAATTAACAAATCCAATAGGCTCAAATTGATGTAAGCAGATCAGAGGATCTTATTGAAAATCTCTTGGTACCCAGAAAGGAATAATTGGAAGTGAGAATCGAGACTCTTGAGGAGTACTAGGCTCAAAATAGATAAAAGGTCGATGAAGAAAATCTCACAAGAGAACAAGAGCACGAAGCATATGAAGCTTAGATTGCTGAGTTGAATGATGCAACAGCTGCAGTCGATGATGCATTGGCCTTGTTGTCAACACTCAATAACCCATCATTGGCTTAAGTCAAGAAGTTTTAGAATTCCCTTAAGAAAATTGAATAGAGTATCAAACCAAGAAGCAAAATGGCTCCATTTTTAAAGGCATTGATTTCTTTGGCATCAAATCAGAACTTCTCAGATCAAGGAGTCTTAACATAAATTGTCAACACTCTTAATGAATTTAGAAATGCCATCGTAGATTCAATCAATGACTTGTCATTGTAAGAAGTCCAAGACCAAGAGAATTTCGAAGCCAGAATAGTTTAATTGAATGCTGAATTCGCTGAATTCTAGAAACAAATAAATGCTCTCAATGTTGATTTGACAGCAACTTTAGGTATCAATAAATACTATTAACATTCTAGAAAAGATTGATCAAGTCACTCAATTCAGAGATCAAAGAAGATTGGACCAAGCCACTTATGAATAGTAACTCTAATTGGAAAATGACTTGTATGCCGACGAAGTTTAAATTTATAATGACACCAAAAATGAATTCCAACGTGAATAAGCTATAAGTGAATAGGCTTTGTTATTAGTAAGATCTGCAGATTTTACCAATATACAAGTTTGAAATATTAATCAAATTAAATATCATTAAGATGTATTCACAATTCATTCATTCATTCATCACAATTTCATTGATTTTCTCATAAAATTCATTGTAGCGAATTAAAAAGTCTATTTCACTTGGACTTGGTCTTATCATTTTGAAAGAGCGTTTGGCCACTTAGCAAGGTATAACAATAATTTTAGATTTAGACTTTTTAATATCTATAAATGAGTCTATAGGTATCTCAATCAAAAGTAACTAATTTCCTTCTGGGACTGGCAAGATCATTAAGTTTTTGTGATTAATCAGTTGTTGAGTTGATTAATTCAGGACCTTCTGTTTTTGGCATCTCATTTATGATCAGATCGTCTAAATCAAGATCTTCTTCAGTTTTGCAGATCTCAGAAGGCACTGGAAGGTCTGCCTTCTCAGCAACCATATTACTTAGTATGTCCTGAACATACTTAACAATACTTGTTTTATCGAAACTCTTTTATTTCTTTTTGAATATATATATATAATTATATACTTATTTTAGTGTTCATAAATGATATAAGAAAGGATAGATATATTTATATATATTTTACTATGCAATAAAATGACTTTGTCACTCAGATGATTCCGATTTTGTTGGCCAAATTGAGTGCATCATTCTCACCTCCCAATCTAATGTATGCCTTCTTTTTGCCTCCAAAGGTATTTAAGATCTGAATATAGGCATGTAAATATTACGTTGACTTTTCTGACTTTGACTTCGTAGATCTTAGAGAATGCTCTTTTGATTTATGGTTTAGTTGCTTTTTAATTGACATAGAAGACCATGGTATTTTCATCTTCCATCTTCTTCATGTCCTTTTCTGTAATAAGAGGGTGTTTGAGGACATTTTAGAAATCTAAACCTTTGGTTATGGGTTTCAATTATCTTGTCAATCTGGTGAATCTTGGTTTTCTTGCAAGTGCCAAAGGTTTGGCTGTGTGGAATCTATTTTGGAAATGAGTTCTAGCTCTGATGACCTTCTTAGCAACTCTAGCATTCTTGGCAGCCTTCTATGCTTTTTATGTTGTTGTTGTTGTCTGTCCCTTTGGCATTTTATTTAAAATAATTTTTTAAATCTTTTTTTTTCCTAATTAATTAATAGAGAATTTATATATAATCAACAAGAGCAGAAACAACTCTCATTTGCATTTTATCTGAGAAAATATTCATCCCTAATAGTTTCAGATTCTCTGGGATGAACCAATTTCAAAGTCATACTCACACTATGGGATTTCTTTTTATGTTTCGAAATACTTAACCACATGTTGTTGTTTTCATCTTGTTTGGCAACAAGAGCATCCTCTGGTGGAGTCACAATTATGGTCGGAGGAGAAGTCTGGTATAGAAGAGGCCCAGAAGTAAAGGGAGATTCTTCCTATGAACTTTCACCCCCAGACTTAATAGCCTATAACTTGGAAGTATCAAAACTCGATACATCCTTTTCTAGGGGCTTATAAGAAACAGGCCTAGTGGATTTACTAATCCCACTGGAGGACATGTCTCCGCTGCTCGATTTACTTTCAACGAGAGATCCCCTTCTGATTAATTTGCCTCCAGAATCAATTTATCTTGTTTGAATCATAATTTCTATTAACTTTATCATTGCATTTTCAACGTTGGTATTCTATTTTGCTGATACTTCTTGGAATAATAGCTTCTGTTTTTGGGCAAGGAGAGTACCCAATTCAATTCCCACTTCTCGATTCAGATCTATTTTATTTCCTAGCAACATCTTAATTGCTGGTCTTTCACATTTGCTAGTGGGATGAATCAATTGAATACTCTTCAAAATCAGCAATCCAGCCTTTCACTTAATAGAAACTTTTCATATTTGCAATATCATAGACAATCACCACTGCATCGCAATTCCTATAGTAATTCTTAGTCAGGGATCTATATCTCTCTTGTCCTGCAGTATCCCACAATTGCACCTTTACTTATTGGTTGTGTATAGTAATTACTTTCGATTCCTTGGGTAATCAATATGTAATACACATGCAACTCCGACAGTGCTCATCGATTTCATTGCAAATTCATTTTTGAGGAATCTCTTAATTATGGAACTTTTGCCAACTGAACTGGATCCCAGGAATACAATTTTAAAGCAAAGCTATCTCAAACTATATAATAATAAATACATGTCTGATTTGATTTAAAAGGACTGCTTCATTAATTTAATTAAAATCTCAGAAATATTAATTAGATACAAAAAATAATGGTAATGATTACTTAAAACATATAATCATTTTTCAGGATTGTATTATTTCGTTACGGAATCCATGTGTTTCTCAATAAAGAATTGTAATCTCAAAATATAATCTTCATAATAAATAACAGTTGCACTATGAAGTATATATAAATATTTTGTACTTAGGATCTCCATTTGTTGCAAATCTGATAAAGTCTTCAATCTCTAGAGGTCTAAATTGTATTCTAATGCATATAATCAACATAGTAATTACCCCATCGTAGTAAGTTTCTATTTTAATGTATCGATTTCAATATATCCCTTCTTTTCCTCATCCAATTATCTAAATGCTGCTAATAGAGTATCTGTATCATCTGGATCATATTCATTGGTCTTTAATACTACAATTAAGGGATAGTCGATAGTACCTTGAATCATGTAAGGTTCAAATTTTTAATATTTGATTGACTCACTAGGTTCGTCCTCTTCAATCTATGGAAGAATGGTTTTGCTCACTTAGGCTTCACTAGGGAATTTACCTAAGAATCTCATGATGTAAGGAATTTCCCTTGTTTATATTAAGTGATCAATTACTTCTTATCAACATATCCCTTCTTATCTTGAGCAAATAGGTTGAATGTTTCTAGAATCTTCTCCTTCATGTATTGCTCCATTTTTTATTTTTCTTAAATCGATGCATTGGGGTCCCACATTTCTGTAAATAATAAATAATTTTTATAAATATATATATAATCAATAGGTCTATAAAGACAGTAAATCTCATTGAAATATTTCTTAAACGATAGCTTGAACAACACCTTAAGGGTTCTCGAAGTTTAATTGATGCCCAGCATCAGGGATTATTCTGAGTCTAATATTTTAATTGAAATTCAAGTTCATTGCTCCTCTAAAATCCATCCAATCAGAATTGCCAAAATAAAACGAAATTGGAATATTCTTAATTTGATTTCCATTCATCGATAATATACTCTCAATCGAATTTTGACCTTTAGCAAATATTGGGAAATGGAAAAATAAGCATATAGACTTTTCTGATCCCTCTGGCAATTCCAACATTTCATCAATGTAAGATTTCCAGAGAGTATACTCAATCCCACTTAAACGCATTCTGTGTTTTAAATAGATTTTAATAAACTATCTCCCAATAAAACGATCATTCAAATATTACGGGATGGCAAACACCCCTTCCCATAATCCTTTGGCATATTCAATCATCTTTCTTCTCAGAAATGACAATTGAGAGAAGTCTTGTTTTTGACTACAATGATCAACATATATACATAATCTATTCCTCTGTGTAATAAGTAGTGCCTGCAGGACTTAATAGTATTAATCTTTTGAATAGTTTTGGGAATCTCACAAGAAGATGGGCAGCTATAAAACCACCAAAGGAATGACCAATCAGAGTCACTTACAGATTTGGACACAACCCCATCACCAACTTAGAAATAGTCCCCATAAAAAAATCCATTGCTTCTTCGCAAGAGTCCATTTTTATATCTGATTTACTTGAATATCCCATTCCAGGTAGATCCAAGGAATATACCTTGAATTTCTCTATCAATTCACCATAAATCCTGGAATAATGAAGATTTGATCCACCGTATCCATGAAGGAGTATTAATATTTCCTACATAAGGATATGACATACTTTATTGTTCTGACCTCCACTAAATGTGTGTATCTTATAGATCTTCCCTAGATATTCAACATCGAAATCAAATATGCAATAATTTAAACCAATCTTCAACCCTAAACATTAGCAAAGTTAATATACCATAATGCTATAGCAATTAGATTTCCTTAACCCATCTTCTTAACTTCTTCTATTCTTCAGACAATTCCACCTAAGGTTTACAAAAAAGCATTATTAATAATATTGAATTGTTCTGTAATTCTAAAAATTAAATTATTATGTAAAATTAAATGTTCTCTGTTTAAATCAGAAAATAATTATTCCTATTCAATTTTGAAAATTAATCAATTAATATTATCGTTTTGAAAAAATCTGTTTATCTATCAACCTGAACTTTAAACTCATTCCTTAACATAGTGCATTAATGAACTACTTGAAAATAATTATTATTTAAATTAAACAATTTATAAATAGGAATATATTAATAAATGTTAAGGTTTAAATATAATAGTAACTTTAGAATCACGGTCGGTACAAATTAAATTACTTTCTCAAAGGAATATTAAATGCTAAATTAATTTTATCAACACGACAATATATTATTGAGGAAATATGATTAGAATAATGAAATAGATGAAAATTAGTAAAACTATCAATTAATTTGAAAATCAGGTTTAAGTAGATTCAAATAGAATTAACTAATATCTAATAAGGAGTAACTTGATTAAATTCAGCACTGTTTCATGATAACCTAATTATGATTATTCACTTATGCGTGTAATTTGATGTAAATTAAAGTTTAAATTAGAACTGATTTAAATCATAAATATTGGTTGTAAAAGTCAAGTTTTCATTTGGTTAATAAGACAATATTGAGAAGTATACAAATATTATGAAAAATGATAATCATTAGCAGTTTAAGGGAGATTTTAGTTTGACTAATGGATTTCAAATTTCATTTCTTAAGTTGGAGGAGTAAATTTAGATTAGATGTAATTGGACTTAAACGTGAATGATTTATGTATATTTATGTGTGTTGAATTAATTAATTAATAATTATTATTAAATGGCATCTGCTTTTCCAAAATTGCCAGGTTTTGTACCCACATAAGAGATTGATGTAATTTAATTGACTTGAATTAGAAACCAAACTTCAGAAAAGTCTCTTCAACTAAATAAGAATAGAATAGAGAAGTGAATCATCTTCCAAATAAGGAATATGCAGTACCTCGTAAATAACCAATTCAAATACCTCCTCAAACAGGGATGTTCAATCCTGATTATATGAGTACAACTCATGCTATGCATCTTCCGAAAGTACAAAAAACAGTTACACTCTTAGAATGTAAACAATGATTCTGAAGAATTGTATTAACCATCTTGGGTGAAAATGGATAGACATGTTCTACGATTCAGTGGATATTTCAAAGAGGCTGTTGTTGAATCTGCACTTGAAAATTACAGGATTCGCAAAATCACAATCTGCTACTACCTTGAGGATCATTCATTAAGCATAACAGAACCAAAGCAAGAGAACAGTGGAGTCCCCCAAGGAGCCTTCCTAAAGAGATAGAAAGTATGCATATTCAAATAATGATAGGTCTTACGCGCTGATGATTCCAAGACCTTTATTCTCCCTGAGGATTTCAGAATTAATCAAGACATCATAATCTTTGGCAAGACCATCCGTCTCTACGATTGCGATCAGTACACAAGGGAGTTTTACGAGGTATCAAATCCCCTTGACAATCTTCTAGTTATAAGGAATACCTCAAGAGTCCTCGTTTGTCCCATAGTCTGACTCATTCGAAACCAAGACAATGACTAAGTTCATTCCTCAGAAAGACACTGTGATGAAAGATTACTTAGAACATAAATTGGGAGGTGGTAGAGTGACATCCTAAAAACAATTTCTGGAGAATGACAGAAAGGTTTCGATTAAATTATATCTAATCTATAGGTTCTCAAATTCTATGTGTTCTCAGATATCGAATATATCCTTCATTACTATTTAGCAGATGATACCATTGAAATCAAGGAAATCAATTCAGCCAACTCTGGTAGAGTTCCATTCCCAATGATGTTGAGAAGATAAAAGTTACCCAGAAAGTTTTCACTGAATCAACCAGGACAGACATATGCTGAGGATTTCATAAGACCATAGGATATTTAATTTGGACAACCTCTAATTATTTATAATCGCAAGTTCCTCATCACTGGATGTGATCAATTCACTAGATATTACTATTTAGAGAAGTTCAATGTAGACTTCCCATTAGGAGGATAGGAAGAACAAGTGCAATAAGAAAGATCAAGTATTATAAATAATTAGAATCTATTTAGATATCATCATCCCTCCTCACAATGGTATTGGAGATGAGCAGGATTCACTTGGATACATTTACAGATTGTAACCCAAACCACCAAGGAAGGATTTCTTCAAATGGGTTGACAACTAAGTGAATCTTAGATTTCTGGCCATGTTCAACACAACCAAACCAGAAGACAAGGACAGAGTGTTTGTAATCACTTTCTTCTTAAATGATGACAGTCTTTTAGTCTATGAACCCACAGTGCGAAACTCAGGTATGTGATGTTCTAATTCTTATTAGGAATACCTGATGGGAAGTTCTTGGAAAAGAGGAAGTACAAAAATGTCAATAACAACAATGAGTTCTTCACTCCAAATGATCTTATAGTTGGGAATGAGGTTGTCATAAACGGTTGGAAATTCTAGTTGCTTGATTGCGATGAGTTTACCAAGAAATGGTATGCTCAAAACTTCAAATGAGATTTATAAAATAAATAATTTCACATATAATTAATGTTTAGCAGTTAAACTCCCAATGCGTTTATACCGAATGCTCAATCCAGATATGTGATATCTCCAAGAATAGGATAATCCATGTAGGTTAATCAGAATTAGCAATATAATCACTAACAACTAGAATAAGAGAATACTAATTCAAATTCATCAGAACACTTGCATCATTTAACAAAGCTCTACTTTATGATGCTCCTATGCTATTTCATTGCGTTGTTTAATTTAGTAGAATATTTATACTAACTAGATTGAATTTGAATCGATGAACTCATTCTTTAATCAGAATGGATATTTTCTATATTTGTTTTTGGGAGCACTCCTATTAATATCGATGTTGTCTCTTAGCACAGAGAATTCATTGCTCTATGCATTATTTGTTATTCTATTCTACTTTTTATTTGCCTGCATAAAAGCCGTGAATAATATGAATGTAGCTCTGATGATCATATTCACCTTTGGAGGATAGGTGCTGGCTTAATTTTTAAGCGTCCTATCAGCAAATAATGAGAAGGATCTGCAATTGCATCAACAATCATTATACATTTTAACAAGTGGCTTGATTGTTTTCCAATTATTTATCACTTGCTTTGACATTGATTTCTTTGAAATGATTATCATCCTCATCACAGGGTTTATTTTTGGGTATGTTTTAATTAATACTTGTGTTTAGATTCTTTTTAGTTATTTCGACTATGAGTAATGAATCAAAATTTGTTGGTAATGCTTTGCCTGAAAGTGTGAGTATCTATACGAAAATCTTGGTGTAGATTCTAAAGAAAGCTTAACAAATAGCTTTTCTTTACTACAAGGATCCTGTGGAGGTAGAAATCAAACTCATTGAAAGAAATAAGAAAATTGATGAAAATGATTATAAAATAATGAATCAGTCAGATGCCAAGAATTATCAACATTTATTAATAAATACATTGAATGGTTTGGATGGATTGATAGGATTGAGTGATGGCACCTTTATTTATAAGAAAGGGATGGTTTAATATTCGAATGCCAAATTTGAAGAATGTACAGATGTGGCCATAATGAGATTATAATGATTAATATATGATTATAACATAATTGTCTCCAAATTATCACCTAATAATACAACTGATTCTAAGAGGATTTAAGTATTAATCTATCCATTCCTGTTTCAAATTTGGAATTTCACCATTCCTCATAGCCACTATCTACATGAATTGTGAAGCTATCATTTCCACAAATTGAGTATGTTATGCAGCATTCTCCTTCTTCCGTATACTCATATTGCACATTCTCGTAGTATAAGAAATGCCCTTATTATCAAAGTACTAAGTGATCTATTGGTATGCTTGTCTATTGATGTACGCGAATCTCATCTTCAATCCTTCAACTTCTTGGGTTTCTTTGGGCAACATGAAATGATAGGAGAGTACCTAATTCTATTTGATCTTTATCTTATCCATTTCAGTAACCATCTCCCACTTCTCTATTGGTTCGCTAGTAAAGTATTTGTGTTTCTTCTTCATCAAATCCTAGTACTCCTTTAGGTATTTACACTGGGCTTTATTTCTATTGGAAATGAGTTCTACACATTGATTTTACATATCCCTTTGGAATCTGAAGAATTCATATAGATTTTCATTTAAGGTGTTGGCCAATTTATTTAAATTGGTGCTCCAATCGATGAAATATTCCTCCAGTAGAGTATAAACGAATTCCAATAAAGGAAGACTACCAACAATATTTTTTAAATTGAAGGATTTTGTGGCTTCCTTCAATGACCCAATGCTCCCAGCCAAATTCTTGACTTTGATAATGAAATCCTTCATGGAATTAACCATGAATCTAGAATTTTGTGTTAACTCCTTGTAGATATCATTAGTGTTTAACATGTAACTATTGATAAATATTATTATTACGTATTGATATCCATGAAATACTTATCCATCATAGGATTGAATTCCAAAATGACCTAACCTTCTTGATTGACATAATCACTATATTTGGTTGGTTATTTCAACACAGATGAAGAAGCTAATAATTGTTTAAATTTGATATCATCATCTATAAACAAAAAGCCTTCAATGAAGTCTGATTATCTCAATAAATGATTGTTAAGAATGGCACCCAAGAATTATTCTAACATTTTGGTTCTCTTGGAAATGTGTTCAGGTGTGAATTTTCGGAATAAAGTTTTAGCAGGGAGTGGTGGTATCAAACTATCTGGATATTATTGCTGCAATGACTCTTATAACCAATAAAAGTGCTCGACTCTTCTCCACACATTGGAACCAAATTGTCCCACAACTACACAATAATTCACATAATTTGGTGTGAATGTACTACCTTCAATTATCTTATATTCTGCGATCCTAGGTTACATGATAACTTGAGGATTCTGATCATAGTACAGTACAATTCTATTCGGAGGCAATTGTTTACATTGGATTGTCTCTCTGTAATTCTTTTCATCATTGATCATCACATTTGGTTTGATTAGGATTTCCTCATCTATACTCATCGTTCTTGGTCTATCTGATATTCATACCTTACTCTCCTGAATTCCTCGTGCTTTTTCTCTACCATCACCTTCACTTCCCCCTCTAATGTCTCGTATGCCCAAGAGTCGATCAAATCAAATTGTTCACCTCTTACTTGACTCAAGTGCTGAATTAACTGCTCTTTGGGGATTTTCTCGTATAGCACTGCTGATAGCAACAAATCCTATTTCCTCAGTCTCTCAAAGGCCAAACTCATCCAATATGCAAAATATAATATTCTATAAAACAATCTAATCTCATATATTAATTATACTCTACGCTTTTTTTATAAAAACCAAATAATTGTCCTTCTCTATAGAGAAATTTATATATGCAATCACATCGATATGATAATATCTCTATTGCAAGTCTATGTCCTCATGATATAACCACTATTGAAATTATTTGAAAATATATAATCAATTTTAGATGGCCTAATACAAAAAAACGAAATAAAAATAAATAGTCAATAGAATTAATTCATATATAAATTATATATTGCTTTTATTCATAAAGTATATTTTGTTAAGGTTGTAAATTTTTGAATTTCTAATTGCATTTTTAATAATAAAAAACACGTGAAAATAGAGAATGTATTTAGGAGAAATATGATTCCAATCATAAAATCTTTCTATAAATAAAGAATCAAATGAACTGATGTAAGTTATTATCCCTTTGAAATAGGTAATGATGATGAAGGTTTATTTTATTGGATTTCTCATAACTTTAATGTTAATATCAAAATGATAAATAACAAAATTCTAAGATACCTTATATACTAGTTATGAACTAAATTTTAGCACCATTATCAACTTATTTGTTAAATATCAATGAATGCAATCTAATTTCAGATTGCAGTGAACCTGATTTGTTTACTACTTTGTATGGAGAATTAAAATAGAGTTGAGGCTACTTATCCAAACAAATACAATTATGGATCAATGTAGAGTGTAATAATTTATTAGCAATAAATTCAATTTATTTTTAGTTAGCAAAATTCAGCCTGGTTAGAAAAACCTTCAAAAACAAAATTAAATGAAAATTACTTTATTTATCTAATTTATCATCCAATTTATCAAAAAATATGGTAAAATGAGGTAAACCCTCATTATTTAATGATTACTTAAGCTCATACTAATTTGCAAGGGGAAATAGATTTCAAAGGAAAGTTTGCTTGAATCTTTGTATTAGTAAAAAATTCAAATTATTATTGTATTTAACTTTGGAAATTGGCTGTCGGAAAAATTTTCACCATTGCAACATTCATAACTCTGTTGTAACAAATTTTTAAAATAAAAGTCTTTGCCCTAAAATGTTAAATCTTTTGTAATTGGAATAAAAGAGACTTCAGACTATTTTTAAGATTTAAATTTTATATAAGTAATAAAATATAATTTTATAAATCCATCATTATAAGCAAGTAAGTAATGATTATATAATTTATCTATTTATTGTAATAGCAGTAGCTTGATGATATGGTGATTCAGGTGATAATTGCCTAAAAAACTTCTAATTTTGTATTCTTACTGAAATATATATAATCTTTTAGCAAAGACCCAATCAAACCAATATTATTTAGGTATTTAATTATTTATGTATTTATTAATCAAGTCAATAATCGAAAATAAATAACAATTAGAATTATTATTAATAATATTTTATAATATAATAAAAATAACTAGTAATTAAATCTGCTCATAAATGTTTAAATAAATTAAAAAAACCTCATGGATCAGGTTATTTATAGAAGTGAGTTCTATTCATCTTCTCCAAACGAGTTGTTATCTTTTTTCTCGAAAGAAAAAACTCTTATTAGTTTTTTGCTGGTCCTTTTTTTATAAAGGGGATTGTTGGCTATAACGAGTTCCTCATTCTCATCGTCATCATCGTCGTCTTCAAATTCCTTTTTCTCAATTACTGTTTCATATTCAAAGGAGTTATCACATTGGAATATTGGGCTAAATAAATGTAATTGAATACTTATTCTTCTGTTACAATTTCATTAGTGGATCTGTTTTCATCTAGAGGCCTAGTGATTTGAGGTATTTAACTATTTCTCTTTCTTTTTTTAATAGGATTTTTTTATTAGAGTCTTTACAATGGTATAATGATAAGAATTCTTCAATACTATCTTTTGAATTAATGGAAATGCAAGAGTACATTTATTTTTTAGATATATTATTAATTAATTTATTCATTTAGTAAGGGAATATATGGGGCGATTAAATTAGATATATGAATAATTTTAATTAAATATTCATTGTAAATCAATCAGATACTATCTCCTGTGGAACCACAAGCAAGCAAAATTTAGGATGGAATATAATATTATGAAAGAACTAAATGAAATGACACCTAAGGTTAAATTGGAGGAGGAGGTCAAACTCATGAAAATGGTAAATAGATAAAATGTCACGCAATAAATCCAATTACAAAATTAGAGTACATTTTTGTTGTGGTGGTATTGTGATCCAGAGATGGCAAATGTTAGCACTTATGAGGATGAGATTAGTAATCCAGACATGAAATCAAAAATGTAAAATAAGGTGTTATTCACCTAGGTTGTTTCACCAACAATCCTTATTTAATATTATAAATTTACTGAAATTATGTAAGTAAGAATGGCAAAAATCTAAAGTATAATTAGTAAATTCAGGTATCCATATATATCAGAGATCAATCCCACAGTGATTCCACCCAGGAATTGGCCAATTCCATGGAGTGTTAACCCAGCAATAAGTTCTTGATTCAATTACATGCTATAATGAGGCACAATCATATCTTGTGAGTAAACAACATTAAAGGCTGAGAATATTCCTAAGGAAATGATTGTTGGGATGATATAGATAAAGAGTGGATCCTTTTTGTAGACAGTCCAAATCTAAATGAATTAATTTGAGTATGATGGATCATCCTCTCTCTATAGGAGATTCTATTCTTCTTACGAGCCATAAATGTGTTGATTGATCCTTTGATGCAAATCGATGCTTTGGGAAGAATTTGATTTATTTCCAAATTTAGGTTCTTTGATAAAAAGATATAACATGGATATGATCAAGGATATGAATAACATTGGATAGTAGAAATATTCGTTATATTCATACATTGAGTTGGCGAAGGTGATATAGATATCACCAATGAAATTCTACATACTGAATAATGAGTAGGCAATTCCAAAGTAGATGCCAATATTTTTTGAGTTGGAAATGCTACGAACATAATAATTGTATGCACAATAAAAGATGGCCAGAAATGGAGCTGCTATTGCTTCAAAGAGCAATATAGCAATGATCAAATAAATCTGCTTAGGTTGCTACTCAATAATAATGATGTAGAGTGTTGTACTGATAACATTCACTAGACTTGTTATGCAAAATACTGCTCTATTTCAAATAGAGAAATAGTACTTATAGGTGAATTTGTAGATAATTCTCTGATATAAAGGCAATGAAAAAGGGCCAAATAGAAAAATGAGTGTGAATATCCCAAGTGAGACCGAGTTGATTACTGAGTCATCTATCTTCAAGATCGTGGAAAATATCACTGTTCTACACAATCCTATGGCACCTGAATAGGAAACTGTGATGATACACATGAATATTAGATTTCCAATATTTGCCTATTCTGCCATAATATTTATTATATTTAATACATCTAATTCTCATCTAAAAATCATGAAAATAGTTTGTTTTCTAATTTTACACAAACAATATCAAGATGGTAGAAGATAAAATCAAATTGATAATAATCTAACTGTAATATCTTATAGGAAAAAAATTAAGCATATTGTGAATATTCAAAATGCTTGCATATTAATAAATCTCTATAAGAATTGGGATAAAGTTCATGTAATTTAGAGAAATTTTATTATAAAAATTACTTATTTTAGAATTCTAGTTATATATCTTTCAAAATATGAGAGTAATTATTCACTAAAAATACAATTGTTAAGCACAGATAAACTTTTTCTTGTGATTTTCTCTCAAAATCCATTTAACATAATGGTCATAATATTTATACTAACGGATCAGATATGTATAAAAGCGAGTTTTATAATCGAGCGAGTTAAAACTATTATCAAATAAAAATACTAAGAGATAACAACTTATACTTCATGATATCATTTAAAACCTTCAATCTCCATCTTCTAAGATCAGAGCCTCTTAGCTGTTGAGCAAATGTATGAGTATGCTATATCATTCTAAAAATATAGTTACATTCAAAGATTATATGCACGCACAATTAATTTTAGAATAATTAAGTATGCAATTAATTGAATTCTAGTTAATTCAGATATATGATCTAACAAAAAAAGGGTAGGTTCTTTTAATAGATCCTATGAGATCTAAGAAATGTTTACTGAATTAAGGATAGAAATGAAACTCAAAAATGGATTTTAATAAAATGATTAAGATATCAGAGATAACAATTTAACAAGTCATTTAAATATGAATTATATAACAAATATTATAATAAATTATTATAAGTTGTTTAATTAATTGTTTAATTGGTGTTTAAATTTTATTAATAATTATCGTTAAATAATATTATTAATAACAAATCTTTTATTTTTAAATAATGTGGTTCGGATTTAAAAAACAGAATGACAATCAAAATGGGCAATAAGCTCAACAATTTCCTACTCATAGACATAAGGCAGCTCATCAACAAGGTGAGTGCTGATTAATCATAATATTAGGAGGTCTAAATTTATCATTTGGGGATGAGAATTCTGAAACCTAAAAGGTGGCAGCCAGCATGTTTAAATAAGTGAGTGGGAAGATCATGACAGGAAATTTTGGATCTTTGATGTAAATCAGCAAGCCCGTAGCCATGTCTTTGGATATGAGTTTCTTACATGGAGTGGCACTGTAAATACAATTGATTATAAAACAAGAGGACACACGTTTAGTAATTTACTGGAGAGATGTAGTCAGTTATCACCATTGGAACAGATCAAATATATCTCAGCCTATTAGGTAAGAATTGGAATCATATTATAGATTTCTGGATTACATTGCAATGGGGAGGTCACAAAAATGAAATCACCTTTGGATCCATTAGTAGGAGAGACTCTTTAGGTAATAAAATAGTTTGTAAATGTGTAGTTGGTGAAAGAGGATGGAACACAATTCTTTGCAGAATAAACTTCTTTTGATCCGCCAATTTCATATTATTACATATTAGGAAATAATTATAAAATATATGGTGATGACAGATTGGATATATAAGTTCATAAGACAGTGAATTCGTTAACAGGACTTTAGACTGGTAGATAAACCATAGTCTTCAACAATGGAGCTGTCTATAAATGTACATAGAGACCAACAATGTAATCATGTCTATAAATACATATAAGGGAGATAACTGGATTAATGATGGGAGACCGAATATTGAATTGGCAAGGGAAGATGATTGTCGAGGGACCTGGTGTGAAAGCAGTGATTACTTTTAATTACAATGCTGAAGGGATGATGTCTAAGATTACTTCATTCTTCAAGTCGTAAGAATAGGCCAAGATCTTCGATATTGTAGAGGTGGATATTTTTGAAGTGAAAACTGATGGCAATGGAAATAAAACAGAGTAATTGGGATCATATACCATTTAAGGACTCTTATTTAATAAGGAATTGGATCATGGTTAGAGGGGTTGCTCTTTGGAGAAGAGAACGTTTGGTAGATAGACGAAGAAAAGAAGAAGTGGATCTCACCTTAGGAAATATTGGAATCTGATACTACAAGGAGGTGTGATTTGATTCTTATGAGGAATTAAAAGATGGAGGATGCTTAGAAGTATTTATGAATAATATCTTTTTATAGAGCCAAATTGCAATTGGAGGAATAGAATTTTAGGGACATTGATAATAGAAGAAAAAAATAATGAATATATATCATTTAAACACAATTACATGTCTATGGCTATCTACTCTCTTCAATACTGAATCAATCAATTCTTAGGGTTTGTTCATGTCAGCTAATATGCATTTTAGATGATATAAGAATCTATCGAATTGTTGATCAGTTATGCTCAAATTCTTATGTACTTCCACTAGATCTCTGTATATTTATTAGAATTAATACTTTCCAGTGTATTTGGTGTGAACACAGCCGAACATTTGGGCGAAAAAGGTCTTTTATTATAATCTAACTCTAGTCATGTCTGCTTTTAAAAACATGCTTCTCAAACTTTAATCGAATAACACCTTATAATAAAACTGATCTATCAAATCTGATATCTGCCCGTCACCTCCGAATAACTCAAACATACTTTGATCCATATATTAATTATATTTAAAATATATATATATATTGATGTTAATTATCAATATAAACAAACATTATCACAACAATAGTATAAATGTTATCATAAAAATCAGTATTACCCCCTTTGATGCTACCTCCCCTCCAGTTACTTCTATGTAAACTTCAATCCCTTCTGTCTCACTAAATGTGTAATAATCCTCAGCCATCAATTATCTAAACCCAAGTGGTTAGATTGTATTTTTTATGTACAAATCGCACATGTTTCCAGGACACACCACCACATTTTGCCAAGATTGAAGGAACTCTTCCAAAACACTACTGCAGCGTAAGGTGTCTGTGTAATTCAGATAATAGTCTAACACAAACTATTTGAAATTTATGACCTGACTTTGCAAAGAATCATATTAATTGATAAGGTTGCTTATATACTAATCATAATTGGATTTCAGTGCAACTATTTTGTTGTTCTATATAAATTTAGTGTCATTTGATGCTGCACACATTATGCAAAGATTTCCTTACAAAAACCCAGCTTATAGTTTGGCTAATTATTTTAATTACAATTTATAGTTTTCTATGCTATCAGTTCCAATAAATGAATTTCCAAATGAGGTGTTATTTAGTAGTCCACATACTTTGATATTAGATTCAAATGTCTTCAACAAGTTCTGCAATTCGCTGTTATTGTCTAGCAATTTGGATTGATATTTGGAAATGATGGATTGGAAGAAGGTCTCAGTTTCAGGAGTGCAACAAGAATAGGAATTCATTTTTGAACATATATTTAGAGTCTAAATAATAATTGGGAGTGCAAGTACTTAATCTTTAGGTGTGGATTACATATAGGTGTTGTATTGTTGTACATCCATCTCGAGATTATGGAGGAGATTTAAGTATTGGGGAGTGAAGGGATTGCTAGAACAATCAGATAAAGCCAAAGTAAAGAAACCAAATAAAATAATCATTTATATAAATTAATCATATTGAATATTGTTAAATATAAATAAATAAAGAATGGGAATAGAATAATCAACATAAAAAGCGATTCCAGAAAAACTATGCTATTTTTTTGGTTTCCCCAATGTTTTATTGAGTTACAACACAGTCAAGGATGAATTCACGAGAAGTCAGACTCCGTAAGTATCAGATTTTTGTTTAATCATTAGATAGTTTTAAAAAACATGGCATGTGTTTAGGTAAATGAGAGCACGGTTTATCTAAGTGGTGGAATCGATGAAAACTATTAAGAGGTTAGCAATAATGTTTATCGATACAATGTGGAGGAGAATATCTTTAGGAACCTCCCTTCAATGAACATTCCAAGATATACACATTAACTAATCTATAACAAATACGATCAAAAACTATATGCTTTGGGAGTAAGGACTATTGTATTAATAGGTTAGGGACGATCATATGGTTAAGGAAGCGAAGGCATTTTGAATAGTTGTGAAAGCTATGACTTTTAGAAAGGCAAATGGGAAATGATTGCCCCCATGAATTGTCGTCGTGCAACATTCTTTTCCATATTGTTTGAATAGAAAATATATGTCTTCGGTGGATACACTGATGTAAGAAAGAGATCCAAGAAAATTGAGAAATATGAAAATAGTTAATGGGTCATATTGGAGTTAAAATTACATTACGGCGTAGAATAGGGAGTGTTGTACCAGAATGACAAGAAGGAATTATTCATTTTGGGTGGATAATCAGCTGAAGGCATTATTGATAACCATCAAGTGGTTGACTTTACAAAACAGATCTCCTACATCGGTAAGACCAGTAATCAGAAACCAAGAGTGTTGTAGAAGGGGATTTAGATTGAGAATTATTCAGTGTAGTTTTTTGGGAGTGACACTTTATCTGTGGAGAGAGGAGACATTTCCAATTTGGAACTTCGAACTTACAAAAATAAAGTGTTTAATTCAATTACTAATGAGAGTTTGAAGGAATTCAGCATTGCTGATTACACTTTTGAGTTGGGAGTGATTTAGAAGCAGATCATCTCTTACATTGTAATTATATAGGAGGAGGCCATTTACAGGATTAATAAGAATTATTTTAAGGATCAGAATTAATCAAAATAATAAAAATTTAAAGATTATATTTAATCAACTACGATATTATCGAATAAGATATTTTTATATTCTGGAGCTCTACTCTTGAAAGATGGTAGTCTCATCATTATGGGAGGAGTGAACAACCAGATGAATTAAATAAGTAATGAAACTATCAAATTGGAATCTAATTTCAATCAAATTACTAAATTAGCCAAAATGAATTAAGCTAGATATGCCTTCAGTTATGCATTGGTAGATAACTACATATATGTTGCTGGAGGCAGGAATTACGGTAATGATGATTAAGGCATTTTGGATTCCTGTGAGAGATATCACATCAATAATAATCAATGGGAAGTGCTTCCAAAGTTAAATGAAAAGAGATGCAGTTCTTTTATGATCCAACACAATGGCAGAGTGCTGGTTGCAGGAGGATTTAACACATTCAAAACAAGAATCAACACAATTGAGATCTACAATCCAGATTTCAAATGTTGGGAGATGTTAGGAATCACTCTATATAGTCCAATAGAGGCTTGCACATTTATTTGCAGATCGAACTAGAGTAATTTGGATTTCATCACTTTTGGTGGCAGATAGGCTTAGGATATTGACACTGTGATTAAATACTCTATTGATTTCGATTAGCCCATTGATCATCAGATTGGTAATTGTTAACAATTGTAAAGTCTAAAGTTCAAGGGCTCTCTGTTGTAATAAATTAGCATTGATAACTAATTGTTCATAATCCACCAGAATGGATAGCAAATAAATATGAACTCCTATTATACAAGTACTATGTAATTAATTGAAACTGATATCAATTAACAATTAATGGAAATACTACAAGAATTAAAAGTAAGTAACTTGGGCAAATTATTAATAATTGATTGATTTGTATATAATTATTAATGATGTATATAAATATTATTAAAATATATATTCATTGCGTTGATTTAAGAGCCTCCTCCATATCCTATATCAAATCCTCAACATTTTCAATACCAATTGAAACTCTAACCATATTGTCTGTAATCCCCAATTAGTTTCTTACGTCAACAGGTATTGATCCATGTGTCATAACTGATGGTACTTCAATTAAACCTTATTTTGTGTAAATTAATACTTTCAACTCCTCCCAAGGATTCAGCAAGTGTAAATATTTTCAAAGCCTTCAACAATTTACTAGTTTCTTCAAAACCTCCCTTAACATAAAAGCTTATCATTGCTCCCCCTCCTCTTTATTGTCTTTTAACCAATTCATGTTACGGATGAGAGGACAACCCAGGATAGATAACTTTCTCAACCAAAGGATTGCCTTCCAAATACTTTGCAAAGATATAGGCATTCTTTGTAGCTTACTTAACTCTCAATTCTAAAGTCTTCAAACTTCTCATGATGAGATAACAATCAAAGATACTAGGACAGCCTCCTTAAGATTTTGCAGAGAAGTACAATCTGTCATACAATTCCTTATCATTGCAAGTCAAAGATCCAAAGACGACGTCATCATGTCCACCCATATATTTGGTTCCAGAGTTAATCTGTTTATAGGATTGAAAATAATACACTAATGTCAGCTCCCAGATCACTTGGAGTTTAGAGATATGGAGTAGCAAATGTGTTATCAACTACAGTTAATATCTTGTTCTCTTTAGCTATTTTGCAAACAGCTGAAATATCCACAATTTTGAGAGTTGGATTAGTAGGGGTTTCTATCCAGATTATTTTGGTCTTTTCTGTGATCGTCTTGACTACACTTTGAGGATCTGTGATATCTACAAACAAAACATCAATTCCATGATTCTTAACAGAGAAATTTCTCATATATCTTTGAGTACCACCATATACTACATCATCGCAACAAATGATCTATTCACCATTCTTACAAGTATTGATGATGCAGGATATTGCTGCACAACCAGATGAAAATGTTATGCAATGTTTGCTATTCTCTAAATCAGCTATGCATTCTTCCAAGGCTGCTCTTGTTGGATTACCACATCTTGTATAATCGAATGTGGAATAAGGTTAACCAGGTCCTCTCTGTTTATAAGTTGTACTCAAATGAATGGGAACATTCACGCTGCCATGAATAGGTTCTGCATGTTATGCTGTGTGAATTGCTCGTGTTGAAAATGACTTGGGCATGCTGTAAAGATAATCAGTTTCTTGCACTTATGGAATCATGATTTGATACAATATTCAACAATATTACTATGAATTTATTTAGTTGAATTCTTCTTATATCCAATACAAATAAGATGATTTTAATTACATCGATAAATATGCGATCATTCATCGTTAACAATTGGAATAGTAAATTCAATCTATTGAGTTTTTCAACCTCTTCTTTATTAACCAATACTTACATATTTGTATAAATATAGATACCATTTATCCTCAATTACTAACTATCATCTCAAAAAAGCTGATCTGACTAGAAGTAGATTCTGTCATTATTCTCTCATCAGTAAGGCATATGAGCGAGTACTCTATGAGAAATTTAATGTATATTGTATATTTTTTTACTTTTTTAATTATTTAAATTCAAATTTTCATCAACTCCCATGTCAAACATCAGATAAAGACTTACTCCCTCAAAAATTAAACCGAATGATCAAAATACTGAGAAACCTCGCAAATTGAATTAATGTGTTAATCATTAAAACAAAAAGGCCAAATATCATGTTGTGAAGGATTCCTCTCTCCAATTATGTTCCAAATGTGCTGTTAACATGGTGGGTAAAGGAATGAAAGTTGAAGAAATTCCAGGGCTAGAGGATGACTATAGAAGAGACCAAATCCTTAAATTTATCACCTCGGTCAATAATTCAATACCTTAGATAGACAGACTAATGAATGCCCTGATCGCTAAACGAGAAGATATTCAGAAGTATTATGATTAATAAAGAGAGAAAGTCGAAAGATTCCACGTTTAAATTAGTTAATGTTTGGAAGATGAGAAAATGCGATTGCTTTAACAATTATTCACTAACTTTAAAACTCTATCCAAACAATATGATGACTCAATATCTTGTTTATAATTGTCTAGGTCTGAAACCATTAGCATGAAAACCGATGTCGAAACCAATCTCGACGGTATTCTCAGACAAATGCAAAATGAACCTTTTAATGAAATTATGACTAGCTATAATAAGAATCTACATTTATTTATTGACAGAACTGAATGCATTCAAAAAACACCCATTGAAGTCTTGAAAGTTACTCTCAATGAACCAATCAACATTACACATCTTATGACTGTACATTCACTCAAAACTTGTTTAATAAAGAAAAATCTCCATGAACAAAAAAATAAAATAGAATCCAATGATAGTGTCTATGTCAGCTTTGAAAACAAGGAGCAATTCACTCAACCTAAATTACCCAAAATGGCTCCATCTCTGAGTAAGACTCCCAAGAAGGATCAAGAATACGTCTCCCCCTTTGAAATCAAGACTGAAGAAATCTATGAGGAAGGTCATTCTTAAATGATCGAACGAGATGACATTGAAAACTCTTATCAGATGATGTTGATTGACAATCAATCAGAATCCGAAGACTAGAAACCTGAACCAGACATCATCAAATCTTTTTGTCCATCTAACATGAATACAAACACGTTAAATCCTAATAATAAAGTTTATGTATCCAAATTAATTTCAAGAGCTAATGAAAAAAACGATAAAAAAATTGATAAAAACTATGCCTTCAAAGCAATGAATACTTCCCTTAAATTAGTATGATTATTTATATTTATATTTATGAAGTGTTTTTCTTATTAATTTTATTTTAAGTACATTTTAATAATGTACTTATAACATTCAAATTAAGAATAATATGTCATATAGAGACATTATTACGAAGAATTATTCAGTTTTTATGATGTCGTATAATGATTGATTCAAAATTGATTTAGCAGAATAATTTTATCGAAAATTAACATTCTTTACTTAACTTTTTGTTAATTATTTCTCTAAAAAAGTATAAATTTTAACTCAAATACTTTATAAAAAAATAGTTCATATTATATCCTCAACTAAAATCACATTCTGTAATGTAAATAATAGATTCACTTATTCTTAAACTTCTTAATAGATAAATTTTTATGCTGCTGATAATTGATAATTTATATATTCTTCGTTTTTAGTATATAACCAATAAGTGTTATTAAAATATTGAATATATGGAGATTGAAATATTGAACTTATAATTTGATCTTCAAGTTATTTGATTTCATCTTGAGTTATTTCAAATTTATATTCCTTTTCTTTTTCTTTTAAGCCATATGGAATCAAATGTAAAAAATATTTTTAAATTTCATCTTTGAGCTTGTTTTAATTTGTCTAAATAAATTGATAAAATTGTTAAGCTTTATTAAAATAATCAAACTAAAGTTTTGAATTGTTTTCCAAAGTATTAACTCATCATCGGAATTGCTTCTGATAACAAATATTCAATAGTAACTTAACCATATTAACTTCCAAATGATACGATTCGTGTTAAATCTTCATTAACCTTTTGAATAGATTTTTGCCTGTTAGATCCAACATAATCATTACATTAATCATCTATATCCAAACATTAAATGAGGTTTTTCTTTAGATCATCTTAATAATTGTATTTCTTCATTTTATCTTAAATACAAGTAATGATTTCAATATTATTTGAATTGGACTTACATAAATCCATTATTGGTTTTACTATTGAATTATATATTTCATTCCTTTTGTCTACATTATTAAATTTTAAATGAATTTTATAAAAACAGCGATTAAAGATAATTTATATTATTTCTTTGACATTAATAGATGCATTTTATGAAGAATATTGCTTTTGATAAAATGTACATTAATATCCTGTAAAATGAATTGAATAATACAAAGCTTGATAAATAAGACTTGGATGCTCACTATTATTACTTAAATGAAGCCAAATTCTAGTTAAATCAAGATAATCATGTTCAATTCCTAGAGATTCAATTAAACGTACTTATTGTAATAATAGTATGATTAGATGCAGCAATTATCCTAAATGAATACGTACAAAGTCTGATTCCTATTAAGATAATGAATATTAATATTAAATACAATCCAAAATATCAAATCTCTTAATCGAATACATTATCTGCGATTTATTTTATATGTGATTGATTTATTTTTTTCATCTAAATTAACTTCTCCTATTGAGTCAAACTTTAAAACTTTTTCTATTATTTCTTTATTTTCATAGCTATACACTTCCTCACAATCGTAAACCAAATTTAACATCTATATTATAATATTTCTATTAATAATGTTTCTTAAATATTTATATAGTCAATAAATATGAATTGATATTTTTCTTTTGTTTAATATAAAATTATATTAATATACACTGTCAAATGTACTACAACGACCAGTAGAAGCAGGAGTAGAGGAGGATTAATTTAGACTTGAATGAGAGTGCTTTAAGGACAGAAATAACTCCTGAGGGTGTGTTTCAACAATTTTATTCTTCGGAATTGGATCAAATAATTTAGTACTCATTAATAATAAAGCAGGAAGGAGTTCTAGAATCCAAAATATCTGTAAGAGATTTCATTAGATGGAACAAAGTTTAAGTATTAGAATGAGCAATTTGATTATTCATTTCCACTTTAATCATAGACGTTGTATTATTAGCCGAAACTCAAGGACATATTTGAATTTGAGGTATTCCCTCATACAAAACCCAATCCAAAGTGTTTGGCAGTATAAAAAAATAAGATTGCAATAGCTTATGCAGAATTTTTATAAATATGGAATAAGAAGAAAGAGAAGGAGTATATACTTCCATTAGGTGAGATATCGTGCATGGAATTTAGTAAGGATGGTAATTTGTTATTTTGTGGTTAAAATAAGGCCATTTTGTTGATCGATAGCAACAAAGGAATTTTGGTGTAAGCATTTCCAAATATTCATATACAGAGAATAATAGTAATACGGTGCATATGGAAAAACAAAGAGGAATAGTTTGTAACAACATCAATAGACGCTTCTGGATAATCCTTGTTGATTAATTTTACAAAGGGCATATTCAGTTATTCAATAGATGAATGGGAATTGCTCGACACAATGTAATTTCCTACAGGATCAATGAAGTATATTTAAATGACTGAGAATCGTATCTTAATTGGGATCAATAGCATTTAATTTTTTTGGGTTGTTTATGTTGAAATCATGAGTACAAAGGAGATTACATTTAAGTTAGTATATGAATTCAAGAATCCAAGGAAGGTAAGAGATTCACAAATATTTAAAACATCTTGCGCCATAGGGAGAGGTCTGGTGAGAATCAAGGATCAATTGAGTAGGAGGTATGTGATGGCATTTGTTTGGGATAACAAATTGCATCACTTGGTTTTGGAGAATGACAGATAAATTGAAATGGGTTCATCTATATTTCATAGATCCTAATACATCAATGTAGGGAGTTTAGTTTATGAATGTGACTTTTTGAAGGATTCTCTGTATTTGTTGTACTCTGACAAAGGAATTATAATTATGAATACTCTGCATATTGATATGAATTAATCAGAACAGCAGTTGAGTTCAATCAAGCATTAATATTTTGATAATCCAGGATTCAGACCTACAGGATATTAATTCAGAAGGTGTAAGACATTAATGAAAAAAGTCACTCAGCAGTATGTTAAATTGAAGTTATACAATGATCCCATTTGCAATTACAGTCAACAATTTTCGCATTAGAATGCTCTTTTTAATGATAGGTGTGTTCAGAGTAGTTTGGTTGGACAGGGGAAGATAGTAAAGCACTTGATTCAAGAGGAGGAGTGGCTGTATTGCATGAATTATGTGTTGAGTTTGTACTTGGGATTTAATGAATATTATAGTGAGTTCATAGAATTGAATAAGGATGAGAGATATTCATTGATAAAACACAGTGTGGAAGATCTGTCATTGAAATATATAAAGATTTGTGTGCAATTAATTTAAACCAATATTTCAGCCATGCAGGATGCTAGTAAATATAAATTGCAAGAATTGAAGATGACTAATCAGATTATGTTATCAATATTGATTGAGTTTTTGTTGAAATGTGATTCATACGATTTGTTATTTGAAAAGATCATGAATGATGTAAATCAGAGTCTCAAAGACAATCATCAGTTTTTCTTATATTGTTTATAACCCTTTTATTAGTAGAAGTTTGTTAAAAGGATACCTGTGAGTATGCTGAATAAAATTATAGAGATTTACATGAATGAGAAGCGATTAGATTTGATTTAGATGATGATTTAATCTTTGGATCATAAGATTATAAAGTCTGACCAATTAATCAAGATTTGTTTGAAGTATGGATTAATGAAGAGTTTGGCAATCATTTGTTTTCAAGGGGATATGGAATAGTATTTGACTCCGATTTTGAAGATTTGGTCAGTCATTTTGACGATGATAGAGAAGGCACAGTTTGAGACTTGCATTTATTATGCCTGTAGAGCATTGGCTATTATGAAAATGATATTTATCAATAATGATGCTTTGGGGGATATGATGGAGGAGAAGAAGCAGGTCGAGATAAAAAAGTAATTAGTGAATTGGTTGTTGAATGATTAGACGATAGAGAAGTTGATGACCCTGTAAACAATATCCACATTTGAGGTGTTGTTGAAGGTTTTGGAGTACCAAAAGAAATATGATAATAGTAATTTCAGTAGAACGATGTTGATCATAAGCAAGGTGATAAGTGTCATACAAGCAGGAGAGAATGAGTTTTAAAAATCATTTTAATAATTTCACAAACAAGAGAGCTTCTTGGATGACTTGCAAATTCAATTTATATTATTTTAAGTAAGGTACTTTATTAGTTTTGGGGGACATGGATCAAGAATTGTGGAATATTTAAGTTATATGTTAAAGAATCCACAAGTATTTTGTTGGATCTACTTTACTGAATTAATTGATAGTATTAAGGATGATCAGAAAATGCAAGATATAGTATTGCAATGGTATTATAAAAAAGATATAATAGAATTTTTGAAATGTTAATATTTTATAAATATAGCAATTAAATTGGAGAAGGAAATATCAAGTGCAGTATTGGGATTGAGTTATGAGGCTGATTTTACGACATTTTCGATGATTAGCATATATTTTGCAGAGAGAAAGAAGGAGTTCACAAGAGCGTTTAATTTCTTTTTGACTTCGCAAAACAGATTTGTAAGAAATCTCGTGTTTGATTGGGTGGAGATGAGAATGAAGGAATTGCAATAATCAGATCAGGACAATTTCAATCAAATGAGATCAGCCCTGATTTTGAAGATTAGTGATTTGATACAAATCGATTGGAATAAAACTAGGATCATATTCTCAAATTACAATAGTGAATCAGAGAAGGTAGTAATTGAGAAGTTATCTTAATTTCCAGAATTACAATTGCAATACATTGACAATGTAATTAAAAGAGAGAGAGAATTGGGGAATAAGGTAGATTCCAACTTCCTCATAATCAACATATAATTGTTGTGCCAATTGAATCCTGACAAAATAATTGAGGAAGTCTCACAGTATGATTATCCCTTAGAAGAGATATTGGAACCTTGCAAATAATATAAAATACTGGCAGCCCAAGCGTATATTTTAGAGAAAATGGGACGAATAGTGGAATCAGTTTCGATATCTTGTTAAATATTAAGATAGATTATACAAAAGCATAAAACTGAGTTGGATTAGAACTATAAACTATCGATGAGATTAGGTGGAGGAGGATCAGATGAACATCATAAACTTGCCAATTTAAAAATATTATTTCCTATGGGCAAAAAGAAAAAGAAGAATGGTTAGGCTTAGGAAGAAATTAATATTATGAAGCCATTTGAAGATGCAAAGTTTGCAGCCACAAATGAGATAGTTAATCAAATTTAGAAAATTGTGAAGATTTGTAAGAATGATAAATTCGAAAAGAATGAAGAGAAATGGTATACTTTATTAGATCAACTAATTGATATAAGAGACAATTTAATATTTGATAGTCCATCTTAGAACTTTATGAAGCATAGTATATTCACCACTCAAATCTGTCACATCTTTGCAACAATTGCAGAAGTATCTAATTTGGGATCTCTTATTTATTAATTATCAAACAGGTATAATAATTTAGATTTGGGACAATTGAAGAAGGCATTCCAGGAGATAATTCAAAATTATCTGTACACTTAGCATTTGTAATCAAATGTACAGTACCTGTTAATGAATGACATTTACGAGAAATTAACTGTCTACATTCAGAAATCGAAGATTGGCATTACTAGTAATAGGATTTGTTATAAGAACAGAACTGAGTAGAGTTTGGATGGGGATTGCAAAGTTAGTAATGATGATTTTGTAGTGTTTGAATGCAAACATAATTATCATAAGAAGTGCGTTATGATGTATCAGGGAGTGGCATTTTGCAATCTGTGTTTCAAGGTAGACCAAACATACTCATATAAATTGATGAATTCTAAGGTCTTGGAAGGTGCAACCAATTTGGAATAGGATGATAATGAATTATTGAAGGAAGAGATAGAGAATGTGAACAAATTCAATAATTCTTCGAGTCAGCAGAACAGTGATGATGTGAAATTCATACCTAAAGTGTCAGAAGAAACCATGGAGAAGAGAGTATGTTATTAATGTTTATATAGAAAAAAAGAGTGAATAAACTTTATTACTTTGATAGGAAGAGGAATGACAATTATAATATCATGGAGGATACCAACAGAGACATTGATTATTGTAATAAGCAGAATGAAATGAAGAGGAAGAAACAAGAGATGGAAGAGAAACAGTCGAAACTAAACAAAAAAAGAAAATGAATTTATATAATTTCAATAAATGCATACTTTAAATATTAAATGAAAATATTGTCCAAAGGCTGTGAAATAGTGGCTGTACAAAATGAGAAGATTCACTCAATCAAGAGTGAACACTATCTCAAAAATGAAGATGTTGAATTGTACATATTTTAGGATGAAAGTGTCAAATCCATAGAATACATACATTACAAAGATATTCTCAGGAAAGGTAAACCTAATTACATTCTAGGAATCAAAAAAATTAGTGGATCAGGAGGTTTGGAAATAGTTATTGCGAATTGCATCAATCCAAACACATTAATTATGGAATAAAATGACTAAGAATTCAATTGTCAAGCAGTTAGAAAATGGTTAAACTTTAAGTCTTAGAATTAGTTGCATCAATTCAGTTAACTCTACAGAACCCTTAAAGATGTATGATCTCCCTACTATTCATTAGCTCTAAAATGCATAAACTACAGCCATTCGAGTCAAATAACATGATACACTAGATGTCTTTCACAGTTGTGTGGATCTCTCACACCTTACTAATAGAAATGACAGTCTCAAAGAATTAGAATAGTAGTATGTCTAAGGTCAAATGAAATGGGCATAAATTGATATGGAAAATGCTGAACTAGCCACTAGTATTCAATAATTGCAACACGAATTGTAACAAAGAAAGCAATAAATCAATAAACTTAAATTCCAATACGAGAATAATGCCTATTAATTAATACAATCCAAACAACAGTTGGGAGACGTCATCAATTAAGCTCTTGAAATAAAAGATTCCTAAATTTTAGCAAAACTTGGATTATGAAAATTATATATAATTTTAATTATAACTAAAGAATCAAAAAAGTAGCTTTGTTGATGTCTTCTTAAAATCATAAACATAATCTTATTCCAAAATTTAGATGGCTCAATCTAGAAGTTCTGTCTTTTTTCTTAGTCTTATATCCCAAATATATATTCATTTTATCATTAATAAAAAGAACCAAGAAATCACTGGACAACCATAGCCATCTTATAATTTTGCTATTTGAAAAGCACTTTAAAATTTGTGATAGATATTTTTTTGGAATAAATTAGAATTGTCAGCATACTAATATTAATTATATTCAATTTAGTTTAATTACACTAAACCTTTAAGATAAACTGTCTATTTGCCTTCTAAGTTAAATTCTGTGAAAAATACAATTAATTTAATATTACAAATTAAATTCTAATAATAATTATTAATCCTTTTAGTAAAGCACTTATCATTAGATTTTCTTCAAACTAAATAAATCCATTTTAAATCTTATGACAATACTTAGTAATGAATAGATTTAAGCATTTCTATAAATTTTGGGTATAATACCCGCTCTAATAATTAAAATATGAGAGTAAATCTTTGAATTAGATAATTTATTATTTATTAAATTATATCCACTACTTTGGATGATAAGATATATTTATTGATTATAAGTTCAGAATATTTAAATAATTTTAAGAAATCTCAAAATGGGATGTCAAAGCACAAAATCAAAAAAGCATCCGCCTTTCTTTTATGCCAACCCTGGACTGATGAATGAATACACCATCAGCTGGAGTAAAAAATTCACCAAATCTAAGACTAATTTCGATACCAAGTAAGAGAAGCAGATTTATTGCCTTGAGAAAAATCCAATACTGTTAAGAAGACAAAAACAAAAGCCAATGTCTATATGATGATTGCTTTATAATTATACTCTTTCTTTATAAATCCATTGAAATTTACTGTTTCATTTTTGCCTTCTCAACACTAAAAAACCAGCACTTCCAGAATACTCACAATTCTATCATACTCTTAAAATGATATGAGACATTTAGTATTGACTCTTTTAACTTTAGTTTATAAAACCTTGTATAAATTGATTACGCTCTTTGTTGTTATAAGTACTTTGAAAATTGGATAGGAATTTCCTATCCATATTGGCAGTTTAATTTAAGATACACACAAACTCTTCATTATTAGAACAAAGGATTATGAGAAATAGAAGACAAAGTGGTTAATCAAAAGGTTTTGAGAAATGTTTTCTATATAACTATTATTATAGATATAAAAATTAATTACAAGATGTTTGATAGTTAAAATAGTAACTCGGCAAAACTGACAGAACAAATCAAATAGCAATAAAGCTATAAGATTAGAGAGTTTGAATGGTTTGAAGTAGAAACCAAAATTAGGTTGTTTGTTCAGAAATTAATGGAACCAACATTAAAATAAATGCATGAAGATCGAATGATCGTGGATGAGTTACAATAAAATCTAAAGACCAATAACAAGGAGGTTACTTATTTAAGAGACATCGTCTTAAATCAGGGAGCTGGCATACCCATCTTTGAAGATTTCAAATAAAGATTCTTGGATTTAGAAATGAAACTCGATCAATAAAAGCGAGAATCGATTGATTAATTTGGCAACTTCAAACAAAGTCTTGATAGCACTGATAATGAGATCTAAAAATTTTTATAGTCTGTTAGAACTCTTGAGTATTTCAAAATCAAACTAGAATAAGATCTTCAAGATATTCAAATAAAAAATGACAATTTCAAATCCAGTGTTGAATAAATCATTAAGCAATTGTCCTCAGATTTAACAGAAAGTACAAAAAATTGGAAACTCACTGCTATTGAAATTGAACAATCATTTGGTAAAGTTGATAATAAGCATTCTGATCTAATCAATATAGTTAAACAAGAGTAGGTTAAATTAAAACAGATCTAGGATTCCATTCTAGATATTAATAAAAAATAAACTCAAAACATAAACACTTTCGAAGTGATGGACACACGATTAATTAAAGCAGATGTGTAGATTACAACTTTGAAAAAACAAATTCTAGAAGTAGACCAATTGATCAACAAAAATAAATAAGTCTAAATGTTTCTTATCTATTATTTGCCAATGTACATGCAGGCACAGATCAGCGACTCCTTATTCACTTGTCTACCTTTAAAGTTGTTTTATAAATTTACTTAATTCGAAAAACAAAAATTTGATTATCTAGACAAATAACTATTAGAGTATAGCGGTGATCCGAATATTCAAATACTTATAGATGAATACAGCAAAGCATTGGCTGAGGTCATGAAGAGAAACTCAAGAATCAGTCAAATGATATTTATGAATTAGAAAAAAGAATAAAAGGACTCGCATTCTTCAGATTCTGATATGGATAGTGATAATAGAAGTTAAAGAACAAACATTCAACATAGTATCCAAATTAGATAGGATTCCACTAACAATCATAGAAAAGAGAGTATCTATTCTAAGGATGCCCAATAGTCAGCCATGATGCAATAATAGAAAAAAAACTCTGTATAATCCAATAATTCCAATTTAATATATTACGAAGATCAAATCAAATAAATGAAAGAGTAATTTTAATAAGAAATTGATGAACTAAAATAATTGAATATTAATATCAAAAAGCAACTTGTCTAAAATCAAAAGGAAACTAATGATTAAATATCCCTTAATATCTCATAATGCCAAAGTAACAATTAAAAACTATTAAATTCAACTACTAATTAAATTAAAAATTTAGAAGAAAACCTTAAGAAAGCATTAAGTCAAGACAACTCAAATCCAAATGATCTCGTCTTTGAGTAAGTCAAACAATTTAAAAAGACCTTATAAACAATACTTCATTTCTTAGTCCTAATAACACATTTGTTGATTCAAGATGAAATTGACAGATAAGGGATTTAGCTTATGGGAGCTAAGGACACTTAAATTGATGGAGGACTTGTTTATACTGGCTAAAATAAGAAAGGACCATCGATATAATTAAATGGTGAATGCCTTTCTTGTTCAGGTCAATCTATTTAATTATTATAATGCTTTAAACTAGCATGTTTAGCATATCACCCATCTGACATATTGGTTGATGGAAAGTCATTTAAAAGAGATTAATTATTAGAAATGTGCACAACTTTATTGAGATAGGCTAAATAAGAATTTTTAGATTAAGAACAGAACACATTATAGCCTAATACATAGCCTATAGCCTCTAGATAACGAAGCTCCTCAATTCCTATATCGCCTGGTCGACTTAATTCGAATTTTAAATTTAATAAAACTAGGAAATTAGCCCCAATGACCAACATATAAAATTTGTGAATTTTACATTTTTTTAACTTGCCTTTTAATATAAATAGTTTTTCATCACATTATTATTAAATCATTCAATTTACTTTCTTTATTTTTATTACTGCTATTTTTCACTTTTTGGGTCTTCCTAATTTACAATATAGAATTTCCTTCCCAAAGTGATTTTTTAAATATGTTTTTGATGACTTCATTTTAATCTTTCAAATTTCTTTATTTTTGGAATTATTAGCGATTCTATATTGTAAACTATATGATGGAAAAATTAAACTAAAATAAAGATAAGGCATAAAAATAACAGTTTATTAAATGCTTGATCACAACAAACTTTAAATATACAAATTATCAAAACGCCTATTTGAATATTTGGCTTTATACCTATTTAAAATTAAATATAAGATCTTAATCACATTACTCAGCAGAAAGAATCAAAATTTTAGGTTTTAAAAATAATAAATATAAATAAATATTACAAAGTGTAAAATTTTGTAATTGAATCACGTTTAAATATTTATTCAAATTAGCTCACTAATCAATGTTAGGATATTTATCATAAATAATAGATCGACTTATTCTTATACCTCTTTATTGATAAATTTTTATGCTGCTGATAATTGATAATTTATATATTCTTCGTTTTTAGTATATAACCAATAAGTGTTATTAAAATATTGAATGTATGGAGATTGAAATATTGAACTTATAATTTGATCTTCAAGTTATTTGATTTCATCTTGAGTTATATCAAATTTATAGTCCTTTTCTTTTTCTTTTAATCCAAATTGAATCAAATTCAAAACTTATTTTTGAATGTGAACTTTGAGCTTGTTTTAATTTGTCTAAATAGATTGATAAAATTGTTAAGCTTTATTAAAATAATCAAATTTAGGTTTTGAATAGTTTTCCAAATGTTAACTCATCATCGGAATTGCTTCTGATAACAAATATTCAATAGTAACTTAACCATATTAACTTCCAAATGATAAGATTCGTGTTAAATCTTCATTAACCTTTGGAATAGATTTTTGCCTGTTAGATCCAACATAATCATTACATTAATCATCAATATCCAAAAATTAAATGAGGTTTTTCTTTAGATTATCTTAATAATTGTATTTCTTCATTTTATCTTAAATACAAGTAATGATTTCAATATTATTTGAATTGGACTTACATAAATCTATTATTGGTTTTACTATTGAATTATATATTTCATTCCTTTTGTCTACATTAGTCCATTTTAAATGAATTTTATTAAAACAGCGATTAAAGATAACTTATATTATTTCTTTGACTTTAATAGATGCATTTTATAAAGGATATTGGTTTTGATAAAATGGACATTAATATCCTGTAAAATGAATTGAATAATACAAAACTTGATAAATAAGACTTGGATGCTAACTATTACTACGTAAATGAAGCCAAATTCTACTTAAATCAAGATAATCATGTTCAATTCCCACGAGATTCAATTAAACATACTTATTGTAATAATAGTATGATTAGATGCAGCAATTATCCTAGATGAATACGTACAAAGTCTGATTCCTATTAAAGATAATGAATATTAATATTAAATACAATCCAAAATATCAAATCTCTTAATCGAATACATTATCTGCGATTTATTTTATATGTGATTGATTTATTGTTTTCATCTAAATTAACTTCTCCTATTGAGTCAAACTCTATAACTTTTTCTATTATTTCTTTATTTTCATAGCTATACACTTCCTCACAATCATAAAATAAATTTAACATCTATTATTATTATATTTCTATTAATTACTAAAATTCTAAAATTTCGATAATTAATTGCCGAACTTAAGCTATAAACAAATTCTTAACTTTATGGTTATATTTAAAGATAGAATTATCAAAATATTTAGAAATCACACTCAATATAATCTTTGCAGACTACCCATTCTTTTATATTATCTATGTTACATTCATAAGATATGAGTATAAGAATAAAATTAAAAGAATGTTCTGTATTTTTGCTATTCTTTAAACAACTAATAATGTTCTCTAGATGATTATGTGTAATATTACTGCATAATCTTAAAACTAATGATTTTTGTCTATTAAAAATGTATCAATTCAAATAACTAGAAAGATAGAAAAACAATGTATATTCTTTATAATTACTAAAAATATTCAAATTAAATCATCAATCAATAGTAATATATGATAATAAATGAGCATTTAAACTTCTTCATTTACTACTTTTTAAATAAGTTTACTTTGTAAACTTAATTATTATTATAACAAACTCTCTTCGCTTATTTTTAAATGATAATGCGGAGAATTATAAAAATATTTATTCAATTTCAGATTTAAAATTCTATTTACCACAGTCTCATTTAATTCTTACTTTTCTTCTTATTTGAATTCAAATTTATAATCTTCCAACATTTTTTTTAAGGCATCCTCAATAATTTATTAAATACAACTTTGTAGTTATTCCTTTCGTTTGATGTAAGTTTTTTGTTAAATTGATTTCACTTCCTTAAAATACTCATTATGCTCTTCTATTTTATTGAAATTGATTTTAGGATTTTCAAGAGGAACTATCATATTTTCTATCTAAGTCAAAATAATGAATTCCAAGTCAAATATAGTCTCAGATTTTAAAGCGTAAATATAAGCTTTCAACTATTACTCAATTTTGGGTAGATTTTAATTTCTTGCAAGATCAACCTTTGAATTCTCTAATTAAATGTCCAATTAAATAGTTTATTATACTTTATTAAGTTCATATTTAGATTATAGTTACATGATTACTTCGAAAGTAGTTTCTATGCAAAGTTTATCACAAGCTTAGATAATTGGATCATAAATCTGATTGTCAATTTCATTTTTTTTAGAAGGATTGAAAAATATATTATCTTTCTTAAATTTTTTCAAAATGGCTTTTATAATATTTTAGATTTATTCATCTGCTGATTTGGTGTCGCGTGGTCCTTTTTCAAATAATTAACATTGATAACCTGTAAAAGCAATTGTATAATCAATTTTAGTATAAACAACGCTTAAACGAGGAGATTCATTTTTAAATACCAACCATATTCTATTGGTATCTAAGTATTAATGCTAAATATGATTTTAAGCTTATTATGAAATGACTTTCTTTAATAATTGAGCAAATAACTCTAATAGTTATCCTAAATGAAATCTAAGAAAGTTATAAGTCTAATAATGCATAAGTATATAAATTACAATCATATATATGAGATCACTTAATCTAACACATTTTGATCGATCTATCTAATATTCGATTATTTATTCATCTTCATCAATATTCATTATTCCAATTCCATCAACCTTTATTATTTCCTACAATTCCTTCAGATTCCCATAACTATAATATTAATAACTCTGATATTGCATTCCTATCATTATCTCTTTTTATAATTTCTATTAATAATTTTGGATTATTATAATATAATATATAAAAAGAATGTAAATTGTGTATGTGCTTTATGATGTAAATAATTAATCATTGTACTAACATTAAGACAGCTAAGATCACAAATGACCAGATGTATCCATTGTTGCTTTCGCATTCTGCTTATCCGATAGTTCCGCAATCTGGTTTATTGTATGCTTTGGCTTCGTCAGCGGTTGGGCATGAAGAGTTAGCATCCTTCTTAATGCATTCTAAGGTAGTTGAACCAACAGCTTTAGCAGAGGATACTTCAGTACCATCGGTGGTTGTAGCATCTTCTAAAAATCTGAATCTACGAGCAGCAGTTGGATCTTCAAGTTTACCATTGACTGAGAATTCAACATTATTAGCAAGAATGTCAACATTTAATGTGTAAATAGTTTATCCAGCTTGCTTATCTTGAGAAGCAGGTTTCAATTTCTTGTTGACTCCATCACCGGTGATAGTAACATCAGCATCTCCGACTTTCCATTTTTCAAATCCAGTTTATTTTACTCTTTGGACAACATAGAAATTTTATCCTGCATAGACTTATGGTTAATCAACGAGAGTTTAACAGGTTTAGTCACTGCAAAATCCTACTTCAGTTTCAGCTCTTGAAACACAATTGTCTTCAGTTGCGCAAGCAGGAGTATCATCTTAAGCATCAGATGTGGCTTAAGCTGTTAAAACATTACCATCTAAGTCGACTGCTACAAAGAATGTAAAGAAGAATTGAGCTAACTTCTTTTCTTAGATTGTAAGTTTAACTGAATAGTAACCAGTATAAACAATCTTATCTGTTTATTCATCTTTGAACAATTTGCTATCAAGATCTGCATTCAAGATTGTGAATTCCCAAATTCTTAATTATTTATCATCATCATAACTGCTTGTGACAGTTGTATCATCTAATGTTTCACTTAAGAAACTTGGTCTATATCTGTAAATTGCTCTTTCAACACAAGCATTTGCATTTCCATCTGATTTAACAAGTGGTTTGTCTTTGTTATCAGGGAATGCTAATTATACGACAACATCTTTATTGTCATTGAAGTCAGCTTTTCCATCAACTTTAATTGGAAGCTTCTTCTTTCCACCTTCTTGTTTGCTTTGAACTTTGTCCAAGTTTTCGCATGTTGCGGCAACACATCTATCTTTGAACACAATTTCAGTATCAGCACAACTAACTTCGACTTCAACACATTATTCTTGTTGCTCTGAGTCTTAATTCCATTATCCTTTTGATTAAGGAGGTCCTTAAGGTCCTTATCCTTGACCTTATCCTTGTCCTTATCCTTGTCCTTAACCTTGACCTTATCCTTAACCTTATCCTTATCCTTGGCCTTATCCTTATCCTTATCCTTGGCCTTAACCTTATCCTTATCCTTATCCTTATCCTTATCCTTGGCCTTATCCTTGACCTTATCCCATTTGTCCTTAACCTTATCCTTGACCCATTTATCCTTATCCTTAACCAGTTTATCCTTGACCCATTTATCCTTATCCTTAACCAGTTTATCCTTGACCCATTTATCCTTATCCTGAACCAGTTTGTCCTGTCTATTAACCACCTTATTATCCACCTGGTAGTTGAGTTCCACCTTATTATTGTGTTCCACTTGGTTGTTATGGTTGGGTTCCACCTGGTTATTAGGTTCCACTTGGTTATTAAGTTCCACTTGGTTATTAAGTACCACTTGGTTATTAGGTTCCACTTGGTTATTAAGTACCACTTGGTTGTTAAGTACCACTTGGTTGTTATTAGTTTGTTCCTGATGGTTATTATTAAACTTATTGACCTGGAAGTTGATTTCCAGGGAGGGTTTATGAGCTTGGTTATTACTGTCCTTATTATTAACCCTATTATTATCCTTATTATTGTCCTTATTGCTATCCTGATTGTTATCCTGATTGCTATCCTGATTATGATTGTGTTGGTTAGCATTTCTTGGCTTTTCCTCCGGTCTATGGGCCACCTTATTATCCACCTTGTTAACCGCCTTATTATCCACCTTGTTATCCACCTTGTTATCCACCTTGTTAACCGCCTTATTAACCGCCTTATTGGCCACCTTATTGTTATCCACCTAGAAATGATAAGATATATTTAGATACCAGCTGTATTTTATTATCCTTGTTGGCCAGTAGGGGCACCTTATGTGGGATTAGAGCTTCCAGAGCCGCCTAAAATGATATAGATTTAAAGATCTTACTTTGGCCACCTGTTGGAGCACCTTGAGTAAGTTGTGTGAACACTGAAGAGACAATGCAAAGGAGTAGTAAAATTTTGATGATTTTCATTTCAAGTAAATTAATTATATTTTTTTCATTCTTAATTAACGGGGTTATGAACCCCTGACGGTATATTATTGAGTTTAATTATTGAAATAAGAGTTTATTTATGTAATTCGAAGATACGATTCCAGAATTTTTAATCTAAAGTTAATTAAGGGTAGAGGATCTTTTGTAAACTTGTTTGGGGCTCTGAGCTTGTAAAAAGTTGAAGTTTGTTCATAAAAGAAAATTTAAGCAATCAGACAAATTTTTTTTGATTTCACTTACCATAACAAATGAACTGTTCTGATAATGGATACCTGCAAGTACAGGCTCTGATGAGTCCCTTATCATAAGTTTTAAGAGGACTATGTGAGTGGAAAGCCTTCTTTTAAGATCAGGTTGACGCCCGATGTAATTGATGTTATAAAATTATTCTTAAAAATATTGTAGAATAGAGAGTTACATCCAAAAGTAGAAATTTGTAATTCAGTAAACAATTAGCAACTTAAAGAATGTTGCTTTCTTTGAAATTGATAGAGATTAAGAAAAATGGAAGAATTGATATGAATGTTTCTAGGATTTCATTAAACAAACATAGATATAATTTCATCCTTTTCCTTTTCTGCTATTGATTGAAAGTTTTCGGATCTAGAGCTTTGGAGCCTTCTTCTGAAAAGTTTTTAAGAAATCTTTTTAAGTATTTTTTTTGGGTATTGGAAAAAAAACACTGGTAAGACATATATGATGATGAATAAATAGAAGATATCAAAAATGCTGTTGTTGCTGGGTAAATGATTGCTAGACTGATTGATTATTGGACTAGACAAAGCGAGACTGGTAAAATTGGGATCTGAATGGTCTATCGCCTTCGTAGTATTTCAAGCGTTCATCCTGGATCTCTATTCTTTATTGCATCAGTTTTAATTTTTCTTGTTGCTCTCTGAGTTATTTTTGGAGCTCTTATTTTTCAATTATGGTTGACATGAAGTCTGTCTGGGTTTTTTGGATGATGGCATTCAGTTGAAGCATTTGCTGATTTTGAATGTTGTTTTCCTTTTCCTCAGGCACATAAACAAAAGATTCATCCTGTCCAGACTTCTTTGGAGCCAATTTCCTTTCATTCTTTAGATGCTGACGGTATAATCGCCTGATCATATCAGAATAAAAGACTTCTTGACTCTCATCTCTGGCCATTTCTTGAGGCAAGAGTTGACTCAATCTTTGTTGAATAATGATACTGGAACTGCCATTACCAAAGGTCCTAAATCAAAATTTGAACATACTATTATAAATCCAATTTAACAGCTCTTCTTAATTCCTGAATAATTTTCATTGGTACCATACATTCTGGCAAGTGACGCTTAATTAATAGCTTGTTGAAGTACAGGATCTTATTGAATCTTACTCCCAAAATGCATAACTTTTCTAGTGTAATTCTATAGCAGGACACCTTCAGACAGTCTGGATCCATGGGAAACCATTTGGCCCAAACCCATATGCATTCCAAAACCAAATGCAACAATGTATTTCCGAGTTTTGCTGTGTAGGGATCGGGCTCTTTGTTAAAGTAGAATTGGCCTCTATCATGGGCTTCGCTTTTATATTCAAACATGGCCATTGACTCAAAATACGGCAAGACTTCCAATTAGAATTGACTGATGAAATCATCATTGAATGTCTCCATGCAGTCTTTGCTAAACTAAGGGATATGGCGTGATTGTTTACTCTGACAGCTTGGAGCATCATGATTGGATCGGTTTTGGGATCTTTGAGAATGGTGATGAGAAGTGTGATGATATTCTTGAGCACTTGGGTGTCTCCCTGTAGGAGTTGATGTCTGATTTCTTGGGTCTTGCCGTAATTTTCAAAGGTTTGGAGACTTTTCTTTAATACATAATACTCAGTCATTTTTATAATTAAATGTAATAATGGATTAGAAATCAGTTTTCCTTTTTGGAAACCTTCAAATTTCTTTGGAACAATATATACGATAAGTTGTGTGTTGGGGGAATACTACAATTTAGAGGTGATATTTAACCATTCAGTTTAATTTAATTTGAGTCATATGTGTAAAAGGATATTTTAGGAATAATCGTTGAATTAGAAATAGATTAAATAAATATAAAGGAAATAATAATTAAATCATGAATAAAGAGCTTCTGCAATTTTAGTTGATCTTATTATTTTCTTCTGTGATCACTTTATTTTATTTATATGACCGAGAATTGAATAAAAAGAAGATTTCACTTTTGTTTTCTATTTGCAACATAAGCATATTTTTGATTGAAATAAGAATGATAGGAAATTTGAGATGTAAATATTTTCAAAACATACATCATTAGATTTAACTATAGCAGCTGCACTGTTTCTGGTATTTCGATATTATAGCAAATAACCAAACAAAGCCTACATCCCATAGATAAATATTTTGAATACTCAAGTTTAAGAATGCACGAACAAAATAGATCAAGAAATGGAACAATAACCTCAATATCTACCAGCCATTCCATCGATTCATGAGAGCAACTCCAGTATGACACCCAAATAGATCCGCCTGTCCAATGAGAACATTAATGGACCCCAAAATACGACAGAAAGGGGACAACAACACATTAAGTAGGATTCTGGTATGAGTTTCTTGGGAGACAACAAAAGATCGTAATATTCTAAGAATTATAGCAATGGTGGAATGCCTTAGCGATAGCTGAGTAGCTCTCCGAATCAATGTAAGAATGGTGTCTTGATTTATTAGCCAATTTTAACGTTATAAAGTTTCAAGACGATTGTGGAGAGATCAAATTTGGCATTCTCAAAACTTTGAAATCAGTAAATTATGATTAACTTGGAAAGGAGATGGAGGGCATCTACCAAAATGACAAAACTTTGACGAAGTTATTAACTAATATTGAGAAAAAGGGAGGACCTCGAACGCAGATTCTATACGAGAGTCAATAACAAACACATCAAGTTTTTGATGATAACTTACGAGGAGGCATTCAATTAGATTACACTAATAACGATTCAATTAAAATTGATGAACCAAAAAAAGTGACATGGAAGAAGATCTGGTAAACATTATTCTTCTAAACTGTTTTAATTTGTAATTTGTACATAAGCCATCCATGGCAATCAGTCTAAGTCATCCTATTCGCATTTATTTGTTTAAGATAAATTTTAATATTGTCGAAGTTAAAAATAAAAGAATTAGAAATAACATTAGATTTCAGGTAGATTTTAATATGGAATTCCCTTGTGTTTTTACCTTTAATTTTTTTATTTATTTTAAACCTTATCGTCTAAAGTATCGCCTTGATAGTAACTACAATTGCTCAACTGATCTCAGTTATGATCACCCTTAAATATTATCGTGCATGTTATGAGTAAACCATTTCTAATATATATCTTAGGCACATTCATTTAGTATCTTTTTATATACTTTTGTTGGCCACTCTACTTTGTTTTATTTGAATCATTATCTATATCATAATTCTTATAGTTTTATCAAAATTAAATAATGTTACTCTCTCTCTATTGGTGTAATTAACTGTCAAATCTCAAGGATCTGTAGATTAGACCATTTTAGGATATATAGTTTAGGGTGTCCAAACCATGTTTTGGTTATTCATTGCTATTGAGTGATATAAAACCCAATCTAATTAAGACTTATGACGTTATATAAAAATAAATATACATTTCAAATTTAGTATATAGATAAAGAAGAACTGTATGAAGTATAATTTGATAATAAAATTATTAGTTATTAGCTAATAAAATAGTGCGCGTGATTTTAAAATAGAGAAAGGTAAACAGCTAAGATAAATGAAGGAGTTATTATTTCGAATCACAACATTTATCTTATCTTAAATGTTCAATAAAGCTATTTCTGATTATAAATGTATTAAGATACTTATATTTATAATTATTATTTATGAAAATAAACTACAACCAATTAATCGAGAAATTAAGATAGTATAATATTGATGACCTCTAATACCCTTATAAAGGTTATCAGGGATAGTAGGCATAAATTTTTGGTTGTAGATATAATATGAAAAATAAATTCATTTTAAAAGTATAAATCACTTAGATTAGGTTATCGAATATGAAAATGAGTAATCAGTTCACAAGGAACTTGAGATTTATAATCATTTGAAGCAGGATTTTAACAAGAATGAGAATTTAGTTGCTATTAAAAGTGTGCTTCATTTTTAAGACTTGAAGAATGTCTGTATACTCATGGATGAATGTGATTGCAATTTGAAGACTCATAAAGACAAGTTAACAAATCTGGAATCTAGATTGATTTTCTTCTAGTAATTTCTGTAAGGATACAAATCATTATATGATCACAAAGTTATTCACAGAGATATCAAGCCAGAAAATATTCTAATAAGTTTTAAGGATAATAAACCCATTTATAAACTTACCGACTTTGGTGTTTCGAAGCTATGTGAGGAAATAGGCAACACTATAAGCTAATTGGGTACTCAATAGTATGCAGCTCCTGAATTGTAAAAAAAACATGGACAAAGTTTACCTTAGTTTGATTATGAGAAAATCTCAAAAATTGATGTTTATTCAGTATTTAATAAATAATAGAATAGATTGGACTAGTATTGTATGAATTGTAATTTCAAAGATTGCCTTTTGGAAAACCTAAAACTTAAAATTAATTCTTTGATACATCATTGAAAACTAGACTAGTGAGTTAAGAAGATGTGAGTTATGAAGAAGGGTGGTTTATTGATTTAATTATGTAAATGATTCAAACCAACCCAGATGAAAGAGTTGGATTCGAAAAATTATTTAAATGTTATGACAAAGATCTTTTTAAATTTATTTCTAACCTTAAAAGATTAGCTGAGAATTAACTGTTATAGATGTTTTTGAAACCATAAGTTAATATTTTCAATTAAAGGCAAGGTGAAAATCAACACAGAAACAATAACAGATAGTATTCTTTGCTTCAATAGAATTAAGCATAATTTTTCAATCAAAATTTCCAATAGCAATAGTGCCAGACAGATAGGACTTATAAAAAGTGATGTCAATACTAAAATATTAATTTATAATAATAATTATTATAAATATTCATTTAATAATTCCCGATTTGTGATTTTTATCTTCCTAATTAATAAATAGGTTTACACTCTCTATTCAATAACAAGAATATAATTAAACATATAAAACAACATAGGCAAGAATATAGACAAGAACATCCTTCTCTTCTTTTCCCTTCAAAAGATATCTATAATAGCAAACCTAAAATTAATAATAAAAAAGTGTTTTATTATTATTTATATATTGAAATGAGAAATAGATCTCCAAAGCTAAAAGAAAAAGCACTTTATTATTCAAGGGATAATGAACCTATTCCTAAAGCCTTCGTCAAGTTGATTGAAAAACAGAAGGAAAAACAAGATTAAAAGTGGAATCGTTATCAGGATGCTAAATTCTCAACTCCTTAAAATCTATACTCCAGTCCAACCAAGAGACCGATCTTTACTTCCCCCAATAACTTCACTGTCCCTAAACGACTCTTCTTTCCAACTACTCCCTCACATACTTAGAATCTAACTCCCAATAAAATAGAATTCCAAAATTTTGAGGATTCTAATTAATCAGCTAAATTGAGTAATAAAAATGAGATTAAGTCACCAGATTAATACTAAGTTTAACCTTTAAATGTCAACCAGGAAAATGTCGAAATCTAAATTGCATAAAATAATAATTAAGATGATCAAGCAGATTTCCAGGAAATCAAACAAGAAGAAGATGTAAATCCAGAGGAAGTGCAAGCATCATATAACAATTCTAATTAAATCATTATACAAGAATAACAGTAGTAAATTATTGAAGAATAAAAATTGTAAGAACCACTTAATTAAATTACTATCGTTAACGAAGAAATCAATAAGTATTCATAAAGCATTCAAGCAAAAATTGCTGAGGTGTCATGTTTGAAGAATGTCCATACACAATAATTCATTAAATTGCTCTATTAAATCCAGGAGATACTAGGCCAGATTGGAGAATTAAAAGACAAATAAAAAATCACTTTAAAAGCTAAAATTTTATAAGACCTTATTGCATTCTTTGCCACAGTTCTCCCTGAATTAGAATGCAAAATAATTTAAGAATTGGTCTAAACATCCATATCATTAGCAAATAAAAAATTACTAGCACTTTGAATATTTATATAGATTTTATGTTGTTAACTATTTGAATATCTTATTTCAATTAAAGATTTTATTTAATTTCATTTTATATATATATATGATATCAGTAGATATATTAAGTACTTATTTGTAAAAATATATTAGAATAAATCAGCATGATAAATAAAAATCAAATATAAACATTAATCTAGATTTATTCTTAGAAATGATGAGAATTATCAACTTTCTTTAATAAAACTATTGAAATCATGAAAATGAGTGTTTAGAATACTTTATAAACGTTGTCCCAATTCAATTAAACTTTGCTTTAAATTGTTTGTACAATTATCTTTATCTGAAAGTATTAACAAATATATTATTATAACCCTTAATGATTAATTAAGGTAAATTCTATTTTGCATATCTTAATTTTAGCTTAGCTATCAAAATTTGAGTGAAATAGATTGAAATAGGTGGCAATTATGAATCTTTGACAAATTACATTTAGTTATTCTTCAATATTAATAGTAAGCAGAAATAATTATAATTTATTATTTTATATTTAATTTTATGTCTGGTAAGGAAGACGAATATGAAAAGTTGCTCTCTGAGTAAAATCTAAAGGATAGATTAGAGGCTCCTCAAACAGAGACTGCAAGATAAAGGAAATGGCGAATAGTAAAAAGAAAGTTTGCTGAGGTTTAAGTGTATGCAAAGTAAGGTTTCATAATGGGATCACTGGTTGGAGGTGGATTCGGATTAGTAACTGGATTGTGGGCAGCAGTTCAATATAAAAAATTATCTATGATTCCTATATCAGTAATAGTGAGTGGAGGTAGTTTTGGTTTCATCATGGCTTGTGGAAGTATGATCCGAAGTGACGATCTGATTGCAGGTGAATATCAACAGCATTTCAACTTTAATAATTAGCAAGTTCCAATATCATAGTTCTGGCTGAATAGAAAATATGAATGAATTATGATAAATTGTAAATCAATTTCATCATTTGAAGACTTTAATTTATAATTAATTATGATTACTATTTTCGAATTCTTAGTGAATAATATGATACTTATTCGCATAGTTTCCTTAAATTTAGGATGAACCAATGGCTGCTATGTATAAAGAATATTCATTTATAATAAGTAAGCATAGGAAAGGTTAGAAATATTCTGCCTTCATATATTATTTTTATATTTTTAAATACGAATCTATAAATTAATTAAGTCATCGGCAATTTCTAATGATGGATTTAATCCCTGTACAGATTAATTAAATGATTGTATACGGATATAGAAAGGGAAAAAGTAAAATGAATAGCAACAAAGTCGTATAAAATCTATTCTTACAGCAATTGAATTGGTGAATGGGGTCAAAGTATTGGGACAGCAACTAATTGAAAGCTAAGCAAGGCACAATCAATCCAACAAAGAGAATCATTATAAAATAGGCAATTTTGTAGGAGAATAATTCTTATTTCTAACAACCGTAGCAAATGCCTTAAGTGGATGAAAAGAGTTCAAGTTGAGCTTCACAGTCTAGACAGAAACAGGATTTACAGAAATTGCATTGCTTGATTGAACTGTTCTATACGAAGTTGTAGACTTTACATTTCTTACAAGTGAAACCTTGCTGAATTAGTTACCAACAGGATTCACAAATGTGTTTTTCGTTGCGAAACAGGATGTAATTATCAATGAGTATGAGTTAGTGTATATGAAAAGTTATCAATTTCAAAACTATTTGTTCAATATAACAATTTTTGTATTGAGTTTTAATCTCCACAGGAAACAGGAACAATTCTTATTTCAAGGTTCCTTGTGGTAATCCGCATAATGAACAATAATTTTACATGCTTTATTTTATAAAATTATAAATGTTTATCAGATGTACTCATCTCTTTAATAGTCTTTTCTATAAAATTTTCTCATCTTTGGGTATTCGACCAAACTTGTCTTGCACTTACCAATCAAAAATCACCCCAGGATTCGACAGGAATTGCAAGGCAGCATCATTGCCCACAGAAACAGCCAAATGAGCAACAGTTCTGTTATCTTCCGTCTTATATTGAGTGAAATCCCTTTCTCCAGCTTCATAAAAGAGATTAAGCATATCTCCCTTTCCATTAGCCACATCTAACATAAGGAGTTAAGTCAACTCTTTGATCGGGGCAATCAATTTCCCTTGGAATCTCAAGAGCAATTAGATCATTTGAGTGTTCTTAGCCATGACAGCTTCATACATAGGACTATGTTTCCATCTATCCACATTGTTAACGATTTCTGGGCATTTCCTCAGGATTAACTCAGCAATCTCCAATGAACCTTCTCTTGCAGCCACATGTAATATGCTTCTCTTGTCATAGTCTTATGCCTTGTAATTGATTTCCTATTCCTATCAACATAGATCTTACAATCTTTGATAATTTCATTGATGACAATTTCTTCTTCTGTACACATATCTGACACAAGATATTTGGGAACACTAAGTCCTTATTCAGATCAATTTTGGAGTGCTGCTATTTAATGGCTGATGACAAGGCCATCAAAAAGGGTTCAGTCTCAGCTGTTCCACCTGATTCTGTCAACTCTCCTCTTATATTCCTTTGGAATTCATCCTTGACCTTATCAACGTCATCAGTCTAAGCCAATAAATACCCGAGTTTAGTAAAGGCTGCTTAGGATGTCATGTCTCCTCCGCTGATTCTAAAGATAAATAATTATGTATATATTACACTCCCATGTTTTCAAAGATGATGCCAGTCTCATAAATCATTTCTACTTAGGATGTATGACATTGAGAGATGTTGACTATTACAATTCCTCTTTTGGCTGCCTAAGCAATTTCATTACAGAACTTTTCTTCTGTTTGCATATTGCCTGCTCCATAAGTCTCTATAACAACTCCCTTCAATTTCTCATTCTTAAATATCTCATTTAAAGTGACATGATTTAACAAGGGATTCAGACGAATCAAACTGATATTCGTGCAGAATTTCTTGTTCACTTATAAATTCTCTTCATTTGGATTCTTCATGATAATATCCCATTTAATACTAATATTCACTCCAAAGTATCCCAAAGGTATGAATTTAGGAGAATCAAAAGAATCCAAAGAGGAAGAATTCACTTTCTAAGCTCTATTGCCTCTGAGCAATTTATCTTGGAAGCATATTAAGACTTCTGGGATTGTAAAATGGCCAGCTATTGTGAGAGCATTCAGAAAATTAGTAAACCCATCGTTTCTTGGTTGTGACAAGGGCACTTGACTACCTGTCAATATCACTGTTTTTGAAAGATTTTGGAACATAAAAGACAAAGCACTCGCAGTATAGGCCATTGTATCTGTTCCATGCAATATAATGAAACTATCATAATGTTTATATGCTTTTTCTATCCTTTCCGCTATGGTTACCCAATCATCTGAATTCATGTTTGAGGAATCAAGCAATTTATCTAATTCATCCACCTTAAACCAAATTCTTCTGTTAAAGGCTGTGATAGGAGTGATCAGAAAATCATCAGTAGCCTTAAAATAGGTGTAATCCATATCGCAGGAGAATGGGTTGTTTTATAAGAAGTTTTTCAATGCTCCTGTTTTGGTAACATATCCAGATGACGAAGGAAACATGGAAATGGTGCCACCAGTATTGAGAATCAACACTTTTCTGGGTTAGTCGCTCAATTTCTCTTTAATTATATCATGATGGTTTTGCATATCAATCACCAAATGCGATTTTATTTTGGTTACATTTTGTGTATCATCTTCATTATACATTTTAAAATTAATTATTAATATCGAGATAAACCAAACATTATAAAATTTATTCATATAATCATGAACTAAATACCTCTATGTCTATTAAGTCCTATTTAGATTGAACTTTGGTTAATTTGATTTCTTGGTGCTGTCTCGAACTACTTCCCAAAGTGTTATGAGTCTTCTTTATGTTGTAATTGCTTAAACTATGAGGTGATCGTTTCGTCTGTTGATCTTTCTTGGAACCCTTGAGAGTTATGCAATCCATGTCATTGTCATCGTCTCCTTCTTCATTCTAAGAATCCAATTATTGCACCAGTCGATTTTTAAGTGCTGGAGTGATCACTCTCTTGTTATTCTTATTCTTATTCTGCTTCGATTGCCTGGATATCTTTTCTAGTTCAACAAGAGAATTGAAACTATACTGAATTGTGGGTTCAACCATTTTTAATAATCTTTTGTTTAGTGATTATTCAAAATATTTATTATTGCTGAATGAGTGTTCTAAATCGTCGCTGTGCTTAAATTGGTGTTCAAAATCCTTGTTGTGTTTGTTGCTCTGATGCTCAAAATCCTCAGTCCCACTAAGGTCATTTAAAGCCAGACTCTCATAAGCCTTGTACAATCTCTTGAACTTCCTTTCGGTATTGTAGATCTGCCTGCCTCCTAATAGACTTTTGGAGCTGCTCTTCTATTTGAGCATATCGTTTTTTTTGTTGGTCATTTCATTCTCCGATATTTAATCTTCGTGATGCTTCACTTATGATCTTTCCTCACTCACACAAACAACTGGTTTTGGCAAGTAATTAAATACTTTCCTTTAGGTTTTATTAAGAAAGATGTGTTTGAATTTCTCAATTTCTTAGAGCTTATTCATGACAACTAATATGTCCATATCTGTTAAAATCATTTTCCTTGACTTTTCAAATATTCTGGCTTAATAATTGGTGGTGCTATTTCTTTTAAATGAACCAGAAACTTATTTAACAATAAAATGTACTCCGAATGATAATTTCTTTTTACTTTCCAAAATTAATTTAATAAATAAGTCCAAAAATTTCTCTTTATCCTTATCCAAATTTGGTTGTTGTTGTTGTTGTTGTTGATGATGATTCTCATGTGATTAATCTAAGGATTTCTCCGATTTCAAATTACCATAATGCACATCATGATTTACAATTTAAACTCTGTGAGTATGCACACTTACATTGTCCTATTCATTTTTATCGTATTGTTAAGTTGAGGAGATGGGCAACCGCAAAGCAGTTGCAACTCTCGTCATATGAATGACCCTATGAGCACTATGTTTAAATTTTTGAACTACATCATCAACCGATTTCATAGAGTCAATTATTTTAGTAACCAAAGTCTAAAAAGAGAACACCAACTCTCCTTTTTTTTTCTCTGGCATATCAAATTGATACAATGCATTAGCCATCTTAATTTATAGGCCAGTCTCGTTGTATCGAAGTATAAAGTAGCCGATGACAGTTGCTAAGAATTTAGTGATGCCACCAACGTAGGAGATGAGTTCGTCTACGCGGTAATATTCCTTAGAGTAATGCATCTCAGATTATGAGAGACGCAAGTAAAAGGATGCAACCTTCGTAATGTTGGAAGTATAAACAGTGTTGGGAGTTAGTTTGTTTTCCACGATGGAAAAGACATGTTCATCTTGCATATCCTTGATTCCAGGGACGACTGAGTTTTCAATGGTCATTGCTTATTTCTCAAGGTAGATGTCTGCCTTGGTTTCGAGGCCAATTTTGGTTGAAATGTAGAAATCGGAGTAGATGTAGGAAATGTAATTAGATTCTTGATTTAAATTAGCGACTCGATTGAGCATTAGAGTGTTGATTTTAAAACTATTATTCAATTAGCCGTCTAGTTGGAATTGCTAAATTTCCGAAGTTGAATAACACGAGCTGGTGTCGCAAAGTAGAGCTGTTATTCTTCCATATTAAAACGTATTAGATTTGAAAGTGCCTTCCAAAGTTAGGGTGTAATTGAGGGGGAGACAATAATAGCTATTGAGTTGGTCTTTCAGTATTTTCTAGAGTTAGTAGATAAGTGATATACATTGTAGATAGTGGATTCATTGAAGTCTTGGAAATGCTTGATTGTACATTTTTCAAGTGGTAGTGAGTATTTCTCAGTTTTAGTCAAGGTGCCATTTTCATTCATGTTTTGCTCATATTGTGTATAGATAAAATCGATTAATTGTTTGGTTCCGTCGACAATCGGATCTTCTACTTGGAATGCCATCATGTAATCGTTGTAGTTGAGGAGAGTGGTAGGTGGATCAATGTTCAATACCCGATTGGATGAGATCTCAATAGATTATCGAATAAATGTACAGTGAAGGTTTCCTGTTTTATGAGACTGATAGCTCCCTGGACGAAAACGATGCCCAAAACAACCACCAAAAGGATTGTACAAAAACCTCCGAATGGTGATTGATGAGTTTCTTTCTTCCTGAAATTCAACTTCACTTCTGCTCCAAAGGTGTCGAAATATGAAACTCTTTGTATGAATTTTTATATCATAAATTATTAATTAACGTAAGATGGTCATAATAGTGTTAATAATCCCATAAATTGATTAGGGATAGTAATTTATTAATATAATGCTTAACATTTGTCAATTCTTAATCTGATGATATTATGTCTCACGACATCAGAAATAATGTTGCTGATAAATTCACGACTCCACTGATTTATTTATACTAAAACATTCTTCCTTTTTGCAATTATTTATTAATTTAATTTAATTACCTTTTCCACAACTTACGTCACTCAATGGCAGATCTCAAGTTGAAAATCAATGCCAGAAGATTCTCTTCACCATATCGAAGCATAAACAATGACTTAAATATCCAACTCTTCCTTCACAATGCACATCGTTCAACCAACAGAAAAAATTCCAATAAACCATCCAGTCATTCCAAATAACATGATTATTCCTAGGACAAAATCAAAAATTAATACTAACTCCAGTGCATAATCGGAGTGGGAGGATTTGGGAGAGTGTGGAAAGTCATACACAAACAACAAGTCTTCGCAATGAAAGAGATCAATAAAGCATTAGTACTTTTAAAATAAAGTGTTCCAAGCATTATGACAGAATTAAAATTTTTAACAGAATTGAAACATCCCTTCATAGTCAACGCATATTCAGCCTTTCAAGACACTCAAAATCTCTATCTTGTTCTCGATTATCTGAGCGGAGGAGATTTAAGATTCCATCTAGGAAAACAAAGGAAATTTTCAGAAGAATAAACTAGTATTATAAAATAAATTAAATAGAGTTTTTTGTGGCATGCATCACAATTGCCTTGGAATATCTACACAGTTAAAAAATCATCCATCGAGACATCAAACCAGAGAATCTCATCTTCGACAATCATGGCTATCTACGCATCACTGATCTGGGAGTTGCAATCAAAAAGCATGCACAATTCCCACAAAATTTTGAGACCAGTGGCACTCCTGGCTACATGTCTCCAGAAGTCCTCTTTCGCTAAGATCATGGCATTCCAGCTGATTATTTCGCCCTTGGTGTCATATGCTATGAATGTATGACAGGTAGACGACCTTATCATGGTACCAGAAAGGATATCAGAGAACAAATGCTCCTCAAACAAGTCCAAGTCAATATGTCAGATTGGTCTCCTGAAGCCAATGATTTCATTAACCAACTTCTGTTGATCAAACCACAACAGAGATTGACTCAGCCCAGGACACATCCGTGGTTCAAAAATTATCCCTTTGACTTATTGGCTTCCAAGAAACTTCAAGCTCCTTATTTGCCTGTTCGCAAAGACAATTTTGACAAAGCACAAATTCTTATTGAGGATGAAGAGAATCATCAGATTATAAAACTGAATCAACATCTTATCAAAGATAATCAGCATCTATTTGATGATTATAGATGTCAAATAAATGAGAAGTCCAGAAGAAGTAGCATTACAAATAAGATGTTTTTTTAGTTATTTTGACTTTTTTTATCTATCAAACTTTTTAAATTGAAAATAAATTGAAAAAATGATGTACAAAATAATCAAAAAAAATATTTTATAATTAAAATTATGTTTTAATCATAAGTAATTAATCGAAAATTGAAAACAGAGTTCAGTAAAGTCACTCCCACTGTGAGAATGATGAAAGAGTTGCAGAGGTCCAATGAACATAAGAATTATTCGTTTGAATATCCCAGTACCTACGATTAACTACCTAAAAAACTTAGATGTCAATCAACTTATTCGAAACTCTGTGGTTTCAGATCTCAGAAATACTAGTTGTTTCATGATGTTGTCTCTGAATTTGCAGAACACAAAAAGTAAAGATTAGCCAATGTTATCATACAAAATCTAAGTAATCACTCCTGTATCAAAGATCCGCAGAAAAATCTAACCTCCCATCCCAGGGCTCGGCTCGTAACCTATTCTCCAAAAGTGGACCAAACATCAATCATAATTACAGCCAATTCATGAAGAAAGTCAAAGATTTCAAAATCTCAGAATAGAACGTCATCACCCAAACCCCATAGTATTCATACCTACATTTAAACCTAGCTCCATACACGAAAACATGCCTCTTACAAGATAACCCTCAATTGAATAAGCCTTCGACACCAAACAAACCATTACTCTGAGTTGTTCACGAAAACAAAGCCCGAAAATGCTCTTCAGTATTTTACAACACACTAACTCTTAGAACCATAATAATTTATATTAAAATCAAAGTTCAAAACTAACAATGCCCTTGAGAAAATTTTGACCGAAGCCAGAAACCAAATCAAAACTTCTTAATCTCCCAGATCTGTCCACATCAGCCAACACAAAAAGACCAAATCTCATCCCACCAATGTTTATACTGAACAAAACAAACTCTTACAAAGAGTCATACTAAAAACTAAGTTGAATTAATGATTTATTATTATAATTTCAATAGTGTTTATAGTAGAAATTGGAAAGTAGAGTATTCTCCTGTTTTCTGTAAACATTCGATTTCGTTAAATTGTACTCATACTGATAGTGTGGCTATTTGTTCGACTCCTTCAATCTCAGCATCTTCGTCTCAAATTCATCATCAAACTGTCTCTACTACTTGTACTCCCGTTCCACATGCTTGGGACTCGCAGTCTTCTTATTCGATTCATTTATCATATCATTGAACACCTATCGTTCAAACGCTCCCAATTGTCTCAGGAAACCATTGTTAGGAAAAATTATAGACCTCCTCTTCTCCACATATTCTAGTGCTTCTCTAGCCCCCATCAACTCTTTCTTTACGAGATAAGCCAGAACAATAACTGCACTCCTCGAAATCCCCATCTAGCAATGCACCAACACATTAGTTGATTTCCTAGAAGCCTCAATAAATCGAAATGTCTCGTCAAAGTGCTTGCTTATTTAATAGCTATCTTCATCGTCAGCCATGCATTGGTGATAAAAATTCAGCTTTATTTTGGTTGACGAGGGGATACTCTGGGGACACACAGTCAAAATGGCTTTGATTTAATATTGCGATAAAGTGTATGGGTCACCTAAATCAATTGGCATCTAATACTTGCAGCTTCCATGTTGCCTAAATAGAGTCCTCCAAGCATTTTCGAAGGTTCAATTATACAAGAAATGGGATCATCCCTTTAATTCTATAGTCTTTTAAGTTAACTCATTTCGCAAATAAATTTTATTATTCAAATAAAATAAATAAAATATTCTTTATTTATTTTGATGTCTTAAATATTGCCATTAAAATTTAAATGAGCAAATCATCCGCATCCAGTAGCTGAGCTGATTGTTCAGAATGGTTGCAATAGATCTCTTGTTAAATCCTAAAATATTATGAAGTGCCTACACCTTGTGTTTTATTTTCCTCTATTTTGAAATATTATTGTGAGGATGAATATACAGAACTAATTAAAAATGGATCATGAAAGAAAGGAAATGAAATAAAGTGTAATTCAAAATTAGAGAGAACTAAAATATGAGAATTATAGACTTATAATTATTTTATAATTAAACAATAATAATATATTTCGATGGATCGTAATCTATTCATAATATTAGAGAAAAGACGAGCTATAATAGTTAATTGATGAGTAAAATAAGGACGAGTTTTCGGATGATTAAGATTTAGTGTCTCATATAGATATTGAGGATTTTGAATCTCGATTGCATACCAGCCAATCTTTTGCGAGGGAAAAACCTCCACAACAGAATCCGAGAGCTCAATCTGGTATGACTCAAACTGGGAAACAACCATAAAGTGTGAAGGATCTCAATGAGAAAATGTAGTAAAATCTAGCAAAAAAACAAGCTAATTAATAAACAAGAGTGTAAGTACAATAGAGATCCTCGTAATAGCAATAATTTTCACAAACCCAACAAGTTCAGAAAAAGCAAGAGTATTAGAACATTTAAAATAATTAAGCAAGAGGAAATCTGTGGAGCCTAGGGCAAACAATCCTCGTTAGGTTTTGGAGCAGGCTCAGAAAGACAATTAGGAGTTACTGTAAAAGTTGGGAGCAATGAAGAGGTAACTGCAATCCTTGGAGGCTGAGAATGCTGAGTTGAAACTTGAAATTTAGAGGAAGGGTAATTCGAGTGGGTTTTTGCCAAAGATTGAGTAGGCAGCCAATTCAGAGGCGAAATTGTTGAAGATGGAGAATGAGGAATTGAAGAGGATCATCTAAAAATAAAATGTATAGAAGTGAAACATTTTTTGTTAGGGCAGTGATTCTGGGAAGATGTTATAAATGTACGGTTTGTAGGTTGTGAAATTGAAATGTAGAATAGATGAGTTGACTTAATAACTGGAGAAGCAGTGATATCATTATTATATATATATAAAATAAATCGGATGAGTATATAGGTTCTAAATTATTAGGTTGAGTATTTGGGTTGGTTAATGAAATAGTAATGCAAAAAAATTATTATAGATCAAAGAAGAAGTGTTAATGGACATTCAAGTTGGATAACAACAAACACATATTGGAATTGGAGTTCTCTATTCTGAGTGGAAAAAGAAAATTAATTTTAGATGGCAGAGTACTTCATGAAAGCATGTAACTGCAAATCTATTCTCAGGATGCTCTCTTCCTAGTTTTAATACCCCTTTACTCTTGAAGGGTTTGCATTAAACATTCTTCAGCAAGGGAACACATTTGAATTGAGAATTAACAATAAGGACTTCTCTCATCTCTACAACCAAAGTAATTAGCTCTTCTTCCCCACTAGTAAAAACTAATGAGGCTTTTCAGAACGAAGATAACAAACTATATTAAGGTCATTTTTTTAAATATCGTAATTTTGACTTTGAAAACCATCCCAAGTATGTTATCGATCAGCATCTTTCATTAGAAAAATGAGCTTAAACTTTAAATTTGAGAACCCAAAAGATGTGTCTCCCATTTATTAAAAACCACCTACAACTTAATAGATAAAGTAAATAAAATAATTTAATTCTAGAACATCCACAGCTTTTGGATAACCTGGAGCCTTTGAAGAATTTGAGTAATTTGGTAAGGTGTAAAAGACTGAAAATCCATTTGGTGATTCCTTTTAGGTTTCTGGATTCTCTTCAGCTGAGACTACTTAAACAGTTGAAAAATAAGCAAGTATCTCAATAAACTTAAATAGAAATTGATCTATTGAATATAGATGAAGATGCACCACAAAAATAACAAACAGTAGATGTAGATCCGTTTTAATAGAATTCTTAATAAACTTAATAAACAGGGGTATTTGATGCTTTTGCTACTGGTTGGAATTAACAATAGCCACAATAGCCGTAATAAAGCTTCATTTAATCAAATAAAAGTTCACAGCCATTTGAGTACTTGATTATTCAATTTTAGTGCCTTTAATTTAGTTGGATCAGTAGGACAAATTGGATAAGTACCTCCATAGTAAGGGTTTTCAAATCAATAAGGTGGAGTTCAAGCCTTTGATTAACGATTTCCACAGCCCCAAAAATAAGAACAATTAAATATCCTAAATCTATACGGGAATCAACAACCTGTAGTTGGTAATTTGGCTTATTCAGCATTTCCTTAAGTTTATACATAACCAATGGTTTAATCATAGCCAACACCATTTGATCTATTCAGATGAGTTAAATATTCTGAATAATAATATAAATATTCAAATTTAAAAAATGGAATTGTTAAATTATGCTGCCACGATTATCCAAAAAACATTCAGGGGTTTTCTTGCTCGATAGGCTGTAAAGTAAATAAGAAGAATAAACTATTTTTCATCTTTTGGTATTTCCAATTATAATAATTAGACCATCATAATGAGTATGGGTTTTGCATTTAGCCTTAAAGATCAAAAAAATCTACTCGCAATGCTTAATCACTTGTGTAACCAACTAAAAGAATGGTCAGAAGTAGTGTCTGCATCTAGAAGTGTTATCGAGGATACTTAAGTAGAAAATACGTTTGCAATTTTTACAGATTGAAATAGATCGTATTATTCTTAGAAGGACACATTCACAATTTCTTGAGGAAAGTAAGATGATTCTGATATTAGAGAATTTAATAAAGGAAAATCCATATAAAGTAATTGATGGCGTAATGTTACAATTTTCAAACTCAATGCAAATCAATAGCAAAAGGAAGATATAATTACAGTAAATTCATGAATCAGAAATAATTTGATGAGATAAATGGCATAATATTTACTTCCTTTCTGCATCTAATGATACCTAATTTCGAGAAGTTGAATTCGGAACAAAAGTCCCATTATGTGGATTAGATTTTAGGTGTTGTGTAATCACATCCCCCCAGAAAAACAATGCCAACTCAAATCAGTTCCAAGACGCCCTTGAAGTAGAGACACATCATTTAGAATGTGAGTGTTTTGTCTTCTGAAGTGATGACAAGTAATGGCAGTTGCACTTCCAGTCATAAGTCAAAGTCGAATTTAACAAATGAGGAGTTTAAATCGATTTTGCAACGATAGAATAAATAAATCAAATGATCTAATTTTTAATTATATATAATTTTGCTGGCTCTAAATTGAATACATATAGAATAAATTTTGGGATTGAAATTAGTAATGATTAGGATATCATCATAAATCATTCTAAATAGATAAATTCTGCTCTACAGAAAGGGCAAATTGATTAGTATTGAATCCAATTTTGGATGCACTATTGATGGAAGTAGTGTTTAGAATTGCAAGGGAGGATGTATACAATTTCACCCTTTTGATACTCATTGAGGCAAATAGCACATTGGGAAGTGGATTAATCGAAGGAACTAGGATTGTAGGGCTTAATATGTTTTTTTCGTCTGCAATAATTTAAAATGGATTTTGGAAAATAGTAAAATGGAAAGGTGAACAGTGCAACGAGATCAAAGCCTGTGATGAAGGAGGTTATGACGATGAATGTCAAATACTGCCATTGATAAATGCGTGTTAAGTCGAAGTAAAGAATTGTTAGGACAATGGCGGCCAACCAGAAAATTATCGGAATGAAAAAGAAGTAGTTTGAATACATCTATGATATTAGACAGTAGTTACATGAATTCGAAAGAAGTACCCTAATTTTAATTGCATTTTGAAATCAATCGAGTAGATTGTATACCTGTAATCTCTATTTAGGTGTATAACTTATACAATAATGCATATCGACTTCTTCTAACCATCCTTAATTGACCATTTGCTATTGGTTTAAGTATCTAGCGCAATCTATTAGGTTATTCTATGCATGAAAATATAAAAATACTTTGTTTTTCATGGCCCATCTCCATCTCAAATACACAACAATTTGAATAAGGTTTTGTGCACCCACAATAATTGGCACATAATCGCCATTGATGCGATAATTGTTCTCTGAGATATAGCAAACTCCAAGTAAGGTCGAGAGGATCAAAAAAAAGAATTAGAAGATTGTCCATCTTTTCCAATACAAGATGTGTCGTTGGAAATGCAGAGTTGCTCCGACATGTCCTCCCTAATCAAGAACCAATGGTTGATTCATTACAAATTATAATTAATAGTTGCTTAAATTACAACATCAGTTTTGAGTAATATGATTAATTAAATGTTAACAATTATTTAATATATAAAAGCTCTTAAAACTCACTTCTTCTTTCCAACTGTTTTGGCTAACCAATCCAAACCATCATATAATCCATCTCCAGTGAGAGCACAAGTACCTTGGATGTACCATTCTCTTCTGAGGGTGTGTAAGCCCAATTTCTCAGTGATTTCAGGGACTGTCATTACACCCATATCTTGTTTATTTGCAAAGACCAACAAGACAGCGTCTCTGAGTTCGTCTTCACCCAACATTCTCATCCAATTCTTCTCTAGCAACATCGACTCTCTCTTTGTCGGATGAATCAACAACGAAGATCAGACCTTATGTGTTTTGATAGTAATGTCTCCATAAGAGTCTGATTTTATCTTAACCTCCAACATCCCACACTGTGAATTTGATATTCTTGTATTCCACAGTCTCTACATTGAATCCGATGGTTGGGACTGAGCTCACAACTTCTCCCAATTTCAATTTGTACAAGATGGTGGTTTTACCTGCTGCGTCCAAACCCAACATCAGAATTCTCATTTCCTTCTTTCCGAACCATTGTTCGAACAATTTAGAGAATGAAAGACCCATTTATTTCTTAAGTTAATAATATAATCATAATAGATGGAATCGAAATTTAAATTTCCAAATTTTCCTTGTCAGAAAAAATCACCAATCACTATTTATAGAAGTATATAAATAATTATTCTATTCAACAATAGAATAATTATTCGTAATAATATATAAATAAATATCTCTTCTTCACATATAAAAGTAACTGAGATTTTCTTATCCTGTTTGTTTGAGGAGGATTCATGAAATTTAAGAATTATTTCGATAATTCCTCTATTTAAAGCAGAGTATCTTGAATAAACATAACCATAAGAAATTCGTATTATGCTCAAATATTTATGAACTATCATCTTCTTAAAGTATGGATATATCGAAATTGGACAAATAATTTAAATTCTGGAATTAATTAATCAAGGTTAACTTATATTAATGTAATTATCTAAATATTGTGAGTAATTTAAGAATGTAACTTTATTATTGTGGAGTTTACTCATCATTGTTGCTATATTTATTATAAAGCTTCCACAGTAATCCTTTTCTGAAATGAGCTATTAAATTTGCATCCTTCCTTATTGACACCAATTAAAAATTTGAAATCATTGTACTTAGTTATACATGTAGACATACCATCAACCCTTACTATAGGCAGAGTAGCCTTCATTTGCAATATTTAATTACTATATTAGTTATTGAGGTGATCAAAAGTGAAATTCAAAATTTGTAATTGTAGGAGATTATATCAATCTAATCAGTTCAGAACTATAGAGTTGGGATTTAGATTGATTGTTCAAATGAGGAATCTTGACGCAAACAACAAATTTGATAAATTATACAAACATTATATTGTTTTTAATAAAGCTAACAAATATTAGTCTAAGATTAAACATCATAATCGTAAGATCATATATCCAATACGTTAAGAAAACCTCAATCATAGTTTAGATTTCCTTGTTTGAATTTCTGTTCTTTAGTACAATCATCTTATTAATGATCCTAATGAGCAGAGATCTATGACTAAAAGTACTTCTCAATTCACATATACAGCATTTGATATCACAAGAAAAGGTTAAAGTATATCAGGAATTCAATTCTATATTACATGAATCATTTTTGATACTAAATACCATTATGATCATGATATGCTCTTGTATTTGATTAATCCTTACTAATACTACATTATTAAATTTGAGAATAAGTTCCTCTGTATTATTTATGTGCGTCCATAGAGGATTAATTCGAAAGAAATTCTTAATCATTTACTACTTGACCTATCAGGTTTTATGACTTTAGAATACAATTTTAAACCAGGAGGCCAGTATATATTGTGCATATGCATCAGCCAAGCTTAGAATTTATAAAGATTAATGAATAAAAATTCTGATATAGGAGTAGACTCTGTATTAAATTACTAATTTTTTACGTAATCAATATAATATGTGTTAATTCATTATTTAAATTCAGTTTGATGATTTGGGACATAAAAAAAAAGTAGTGATAAGCTACCATGGGCATAGTAATGGCTCAGAAATTATTGTGATAAGTTCGGTGGAATTTGTTTGTATTGATCGGAATTAAAGGAATAAATTTCTCCTTTAGATTACTAAATGATTATAAATATATTAAAAATAAAAATGTTGGATGATTAAATACCAGAGGAACTTTTCAACGAATAGATAAGTGTGGCACCTTCTTTGTATACTCATAGTTCCATCATTTAAGATATACAAAACAAAATGATTCAATAGAGTTCTAAAATCCAGAATGATCCAGACATTCTAAAGACTTCATTAACAAATGATATATTCAAGGAAGACAATCTGGATATTTCCTAATTCGACCCAAATAACCCTAAATATAAAAGCAAGCCACATGAGGTCCTTTTTTAAGTAAACTCCTTTATAAAATATACTATCTTCTCCTTATTATATACCATTCTTGGACCTTTGATTATTCCAATATTTATTTGGACTCATAAGCAATTACTTTATAACTTTCAACTATTTGGATTAAAATGGACATGCCTATTCACCTATCTTAGATATTCTTTGGACATGGCTTTAGTAATAGGCTTTATTTATCATCCAATGACTTAATTTTAGCTTCAATGTAATGATTTGTTTTCTTATCTGAATAGTACTCCTGTATTTTGTTGTCCAAATATTTTCAGAATTAGTTGTCTAAAACTTAATGTTAGCTTTCTACCATCCTTAGAAGATAGAACTGTTAGAAAAGTTTCCACTTGAAGTCATACTAAATAAATTTGAAAATCAAATAAATCCACTTCTATGGTGTTAGTAAAGTCCAGAATTAATTTAATTTGAGTTGGAACAGTCGATAAGAAGATTGCATATTGAACCTGGATTGTTCATTTTTTTCTTTATAGTCTAACCAAATGAAAAAAGAAGGGAAAAGATCTCTCATAAATTTGAGAACCTGAAAGTGGAAGGCAAGTATGCTGGAAATGGGATTAAAATGGCAATAGAAATCATTCAATATTACAATGAGTCGTCTCCCTTATACATGTACGTTATTGTAGCCTGTGGTTTCACAATCATTCGATTATGCATCACAGTGACATATTCATTCTTTCAGCATGCAGCTCCAATGCAGACTATAATGTTTGTTGCAATCACTGCTCTCAACACCATTGGCTACTTTATTGTAATAACCATCATTTTAATAACCTTCAGAGACTTACAAAGGAAGGTATTTTGTTTGAATCAACTATCTCATCTGATTTCTGCCTAACAAGTTGAAGAATATGATGAGACCAAAATATTCCCCACTTTGAACTTCCTATGTGTGCAATCCTTATTTTCATGGTAGAATTTGCGAAAGGTAATCCTTGATTATGGTCTACAATACTATCAGAGAGAAAATGCCATTATCTCATTTTGCTTAGAAATAATCTTGGTATTAGTTCTATTTGCCCTTTTAAACATGTTCAATGTGATAAGTTGTTACTCCTTAGGGGACGAAAGCAAATTTTCTTTGTTCATTTTGATTAGCTTTGATGTCCTTACAATTATGTTCCTATCTATTCTTGTCGTCCTGTAAGGTGCTCGTATCAATAAACATTTTTAAATTCATCAAACCATGTTAAAGAAAAACATGTTTACTTACTAGCAACTTTCGACTTAATCCTTCATTAAGAAGGAGTATCATGTGCAACCCTAAGATTTTATGTTTAAAACTCTAAAATCTATATTAGATAGAATACAGCTGGGAGATGAAAATAAAAACTGGTTTTTCTTGTATTCATAATATGTTTTGAATGCAATCGATTAGGCATATTCAGATTTATGCTATGAGGAGGAGAATAAACCATTTACTGTCTTGGGAATAGCTATGACATATAGTTTAGCATTTTAACTGATAGCAAGTTTTCTAGGTATCTTGGGAACCATAATCATAAGTTTATACTTCAATGTTGATTTATGAATATGTATAATTTTATTTATATTCTCCTCAAAATTTAAGACTTTTATTTTTAGTCCTCAATTATTTACTCTTAAATATAATCCTATTATTTATTTGTCTTTTTTGAGCATAATTTTGAAAAAGAGAGTCATTAGATCTTATCATCTTTGAAATGATAGTAATTTATAGATTTTAGAATTCTCATAGAAGTATTAAGTTGTAATATGATATACGAATGTTCTGATGAACCAATGAGTGGATTATATATTAACAACATGAAGAAACACAAAATAAGGAATAATTTATTTATTATGAATTTGAATGAATAAATAAATAAAATAAAATTATTAATTACACGTTAAAGAATTTCTAGAAGAATTCTCTTTGTATATAAATTGATTATACACATCATTTAGAAATAATTTATTATGAAGAAATTGTTACTTGCCTTGCTCCTAGTTTCTGTATCAGTATGCGAAAGCTCTGTTGAATGCCCAGTTATTGGTATTGACTTGGGTACAACTTACTCATGCGTCGGAGTGTTCAGATAAGGACATGTTGAGATCATTCCAAATGAATTAGGAAATAGAATCACACCTTCAGTTGTTTCCTTCACAGATCAAGAGAGATTAATTGGAGAGGCTGCTAAAAACTAAGCTGCCACCAATCCTAGTAGAACCCTTTATGATGTCAAGAGATTGATCGGAAGAAAGTATGTATCAATATGAATTTTCAAGATTCTCTGATTCTACAATTCAATATGATAGAAAGTTCTTGCCATTTGAAATTGTCGATAGAGATGGAAAACCATACATCTAAGTAGAGAAGGGTACATAATCAAAAGTATTTGCTCCCGAAGAGGTGAGTGCAATGGTGTTGTCAAAGATGAAGGAAATCGCAGAGGGTTATTTGGGACAAAATGTTATCAATGCAGTTGTGACAGTTCCAGCATATTTTAATGATGCTTAAAGACAAGCCACAAAGGATGCAGGAAATATTGCAGGTTTGAATGTAGTTAGAATTTTGAATGAACCAACTGCAGCAGCTATTGCTTACGGTTTAGATTCAAAATAAGTTGAATCAAACATTTTGGTTTTTGATTTGGGAGGTGGTACCTTTGATGTTTCCATTTTGACCATTGATAATCAAGTGTTTGAAGTCATCTCTACATCAGGAGATACACATTTGGGAGGTGAAGATTTCGATCAAAGATTGATTGATCACTTCATCAAGTTGGTGTAGAAGAAGTACTCAAAGGATGTTTCAGGAGACAAGAGAGCAATTTGAAGGTACAAAGAGAAAGGTGAGAAAAAGCCAAGAGAAGACTCTCTGCTGCACAAGAAGCCAAAGTCGAAATCGAAGATTGGGTAGAAGGATTAGACTTTAGCGAAGTTTGAACAAGAGCTAAATTCGAAGAATTGAACAGCGATTTGTTTAGAAAGACTATTGAACCAATGTAGACAGCTTTGAATGACTCAGGATTAAAGAAGAGTCAAATCGATGAAATCGTACTTGTTGGTGGTTCATCTCGTATTCCAAAGGTCAGATAACTCGTGAAAGAGTTCTTTGAAGGAAAAGATCCAAATACAGGTATCAATCCAGATGAAGCCATTTGTTATGGTGCTGCCATCCAAGGAGGTTTGATCTGCGGAGAGAAATCAGATGCTACTGATGGTTTAGTTGTTATTGATGCCACACCTTTGAGTTTGGGTATCGAAACAGTCGGAGGAGTCATGAATAAGATTATTCCTAAGGGATCCTTCATCCCAACTAAAAAGTCTCAAGTTTTCACAACATATGTTGACAATTAAACAACAGTTACCATCACTGTTTTCGAAGGAGAAAGACCTTTGGTCAAGGACAACCACAAATTGGGACAATTTGATTTAACTGATATTCCCAAAATGCCTAAGGGATAACCTCAAATTGAAGTTACTTTCGAAATTGATGAGGACGGTATCTTATCCGTTTCAGCCTCTGAATAATCAACAGGAAAGAAGAATCAAATCTAAATTACTGCTGATAACAAGTTGACAAAGGAAGAAATTGACAGAATGATTAAAGAAGCCGAACAATTCGCTGAGGAAGATAAAATTGCCAAGGAGAAGATTGACGCCAAGAACAGTTTGGATTCCTACATCTATTCCATCAAGAACTAAATCGAAGATGAGGTATTGTATATCTCTAAACATTTTAGAAAAAATTAGCCAAACACTTGACTGAAGAATAAAAACAAACCTTGAAGGATGCTGTCCAAAAGAGTGAAGAATGGATTAAAAAGGATGAAGCCAACTATGATAAAGAAGATTTTGAAGGAGAATTAAAAGATTTATAAAAGTAATTAATTTTTCTAAACATGTAGAGTTTGTGATCCAATCGTTCAAGAAGCCTAAAAGAAGAAAGATGAAAACAAAGAGAATGAAGATGATGCTGATGATACAAAAACTGATTTATGATTAATGTGTGCAATATTTTATTTTAATGAAAGTTGTATTTCAAATCTGCATAATTTCCTTACTATTGACTACCTGCTATGCATTCAATATTCATTAATATGCAGCTATGCTACCTGGTCTCAAACTACCTCAAAACACCAAAACTAGAGTATTGGTAATTGATACTTTTGAAGACTTCTTATGGGCCAATCTATATGTAGGGTACTATCAAAAAATTTTCAAATTAGACTCTTCTACTACTTTTCATATTTGGCAACAGGAGCCGCCCTAGAATTTACTAATCCAATACCAAAATCTGCCTTCAGAGTGAAAAACATGAGACTTGAAATCAGTAGAGGAGTTTAAGCCTTATTCTGGGTACTACTCTTTGCCACCATTTTCATGTGGAAAATCGAACCTCTAACACCATATTATGGATATTATGAAACACATGATTTTGGATTGAAAGAATGGCTCATTGGACTTTTTGTGTATCTCTCTCTTGTATTCATTAGATATTCCATTGGTTTCGATTTCTACTTTTATGTCACTCATATCATCCTCCATCAACCATTCTTTTGGAAATACATTCACAAGCAACATCATGAATTTATTGAACCTACAGCATTTGCTTAAGATGCAGTCCATCCAATTGAAGCCATTGTATAAGGCCCATTAGGACATTTCTTCCCATGTCTATTCTACCCTATCCCTCCAGTTTGGCATCAGTATGTTAAATTATCTTACAATTAGCTTTTTCGGGTTTTTGACTGCTGTCTATGCCCAAGCAGCTCATGATGGAAGATGGGACCCATTCGGACATATTAATCACCATTTCTATGTCACCTGCAATTATGGAATTTGGGGTGTGTGTGATAGAATATTTTAAACAAATCATTCTTCATCAAGATTCCCTGTTAGATATGTTCCTAGCTGGGAGAAAGATGCAAAAAAAATTAAATGATCAACTTAAATGATTCATAAATAAATCAACATTCCGTTAATCCACCCATATTTATCAGTTGTATTGTTCCAATTGGATATTCCTAATCCTTATTCATGGTATTGTAAGTGATGTCTACTTCATTCGGCAAATATCCATCCTTCTAAAAAATAAATATACCATTAAACTACCCATTTATCAATGGGTTTTCAGCATATAATGTGAAATAACCTTCTCTATCACTTAATGTCGAATTTATTAATTATTTCGCTGTAAATTCGATATAATACGAAATCTTTACACTCTCAATTGCACTTTATTACTTATCTGTGCATTATAGTCCTTGCATTTCCAACACTCTCCCAGTGAATTTAGTACTTGATAAGGCCTTCTTCTTAATCACTTAAGGGCTAAAGTTGAAATCAGTTGTTATATTAGATTTCTCTTTCACTTTCAATACAGAATATAATATTCCACAGTTTGGGTTCATTATCATAATACCACAAGAGTACTCAAATCCTTCTTTAAATGCTTTATCTAGTTAAATCACATTAACATCCTTCTATGTCATAAATTAATATTTGTATGCAGTTCCACATGAAAATGAAATCTACACTACATTTGAATTCTGAATTTATGTTTAATTTTCTTAACAATTTCTGTTGATATTAACTTACAAATTAACAAGATAGTAATTCGGGTTCATGTAAATCTATCCAAGGTCTGCAATATATGAGTCATATAATTATACACTTTGTTATTATTTAAAGTATCCCTATAAATTGATTGATATTGATGCTTGATATACCAATAATTTCATCAACTTGTTTTTTGCTAAAAAACAACCATCCTGTCCTGTTTTAATTTCTTATATATCCAAAAGAGTAGGTTAATCATAAACTATGCTTATTGTAGTTTCAGAAACTGGCAATAAATTATCACTTTAAATTACACAACCTGAAATACTTGTTTTCACACTTTCTTTATTATCCAACAATATTCTTCCTAAATTTACAGGACAATCATCTCTATTTATTTCAATTTACATTGTGAATTAATTTGCAATATTCAAACTTAATTATCCTTATACTAAATTTGAATCTATCTCCAATTCAAATTCTCCTTTTTTATTACTTATAGTTTGACTGTTTTTGAATGATACAATCACATTATTTGCAGGAAAAGACTTAGGTGTGTATAAAATCCCAGTTATTTTGCATGCATCCGATTTCGAAACTAATAAATAAATCAATATTTTAAATATTAACATTTTATGTTAGATTAATTAATTCATTTATAATACTTATAAATTTGAGAAACTCAACATTATGAAACTAACATTATTTGTTTAGACTAAACAAGCTACCTATCAAATAAACAATTATTACCCTAAATAATTTCTGCTTTCAAAATTTTTGTAAAAAGTAAACTGTTTTATGATAATATCAATCCTGAAATATCATTAGATTTGTTTCTGCTAAATAACAGATAACAAAATTTAAATAATTACAAATAGGAATGTTAATTTGATTTTGCAATATACTTATTTATTTTTATGGTTTAATGCTCAAGTTATTAATTTATTCCTTTTAGTTTGATCTTAATTTTTTTTAAAGAAAAAGCAATATTAGAAATTTTAAACATGACAGGAAAAATATTCAATCTATACTAAGATTATGATGTTAATGGATTAGGATAGTTTGAATAACATTTTATAAGGCCACTTACTAAATTAATGCGAGTATCAAATTAAATAATTGACTTGTGACTTCTGTTGTTATATTTATATATTATCTTGTTGAGGGGCAGTATTGTATAGTAAATTTAACTTTATTGATTTAGTTAAAGGTTTCAATGTTAGGTGCTATTTAGCCTGTTGAACTTATGAATATTTTAGAGAGATTTGTCAACATAGTTGTAATTACAATAAGGAATTAGTTCCTCTTGGCTTCTCCAGACCCTGAGGAGTCAAAAATTTTATCTTCAATACATTAGATATCTAGTGAGTCTCCTATAATCTCTATTTATCTCTTCAGAAATAAATTTTTGCTCTTTTCTAAATTCTATCCATGTGATATTAGCTTCTTTTAATTATTATGTAATAGAAGCTATCTTTTATTATTTTTTCTATAATTATTTCAAATAATGAGATAAATAATAATGATTTCAATTTCTTTTATTGTGATTTATTCCATATACTAATAAATCTAACAGAACAAAAGCTGATTTTACTGCTGGACTTGGTGATTTACTTTAATATGATCAAATTTCTGTACGATTTCACATTTTGTGTCTAGCTAAAAAAAATACATAAGATACATTTGCCATCTGTCTAATACTTAAACAAAAAAAAGTAATAGAAATTCAATATTTTAATTAAGCAATAAATTGCACTTATCAGATTGTTTCTTGTTTAAATAAGCTACTCACAGGCTTTTTACTAAGAAAGCTAGGTAGGCATTTTCCACCAACGTGATACTTTAAAAATTTAGTAAAAAGAAAATATCTGATTGCCTTGGATTTCTTGCAAAAAACAATACTCAAAAAGGATTTAAAGAATACTGTAATTATTAAGTGAAGTGATGAGATGAGATGCTAAAAACCATCAAGAAAATTAAGTGTATGATGAAAAATATTAATAAACCAATAGAAACAATAAAAAATTATCAAATTTTTGAAAATCTTTAATTTACCTTTGAGGTATAAAAAACAATTAATTTATTTTTGGAAATGAAATTTGGTCTAAGGGAGAATGTCTCAAAAATATAAATTTAAGTGAATCTGAATTTGAAAATGTTAACAGAAATTGAATGAATTCAAATGGAAAAAAATTTAAAATACAACCAATTAAATAGATTAGAGAGTTTTACTAAAGAGTCAATTATGTTTGCTTTTCTCCTGATTGTTCTTCAATAGAAACTAACAATGTTGATAACTTTATCCTTTAATTGGATGTTAAACCAGGAGAATAAAAAGCCAAATTAGTTAATAATATTAATTGAGTTTATTCGATATGCTTTTCACCTAATGCTATTAAATTAGCATTTATAATCGAGGATGGCTATGTATCAGAAAGGATAACAAATGTTTAAATTAGATGGACCTAATCGAATTGCCAACTCAATATACTTCTCTCCTGATGGCACTATATTAGCATCTAGTAGTAAGGATAAATCTAAATAATTGCTGGATGTTAAGACAAGAGAAGTATACAGGGTTGACAAAACTATTATATCAATCTAACTTAAACTTTTGTTCTCAATTGATTGCCTCCTTATTACACCTCACCTGATAGTAGAGATAACTCTATCAGTATATGTACCTAGTTGATAAATTAATCAAAATTTTTCAAAATGAATTTATTAAAAATATTATTTTCTAGTGAAAATTAATCATTCCATATTCAAGAAAAATATAACTTTCCAAATAAAGTATTTGTGTCTTTACTGTGGAATTTACAAAGCGTTTCTTCAATTTTAATGATGCGATAATTTAACATCAATAAATAATCTGATTTAATGAAAAACTAATCATACATAAAAATCATAACTAAAATTACTAATAAGGCACAAATTTCAAATTCTGACTTAGAAAAATGAGTCTAGATTGTTTTTTTGGAAGATAATTAGGGTGAATGGATGAATTAGAAGGGTGCTTTTGGAAAAGTTGGAGATGACTGCTATTTAAAAAATGAACAAAATAGCGAAGGGGATTATATCATGAAACAATCAAGCTTTTACATACACTTAAGGATTATATAAATAATGGGTTTTTTTCTTTGGTCAGAAGATTTGGAAGAGGTTTTAGTTTTAAAAGAAGACACCTGGTAAATAAATATTGAGATTAATCGTTTATATGTTAAGAAGAGAGAAAATTTCAGTTTTTCAAAACTTGATTAATAAAATCTTTTTCCACTAAAGATTTTAGAGATAACGAAAAGATCATTAAATTTTAAAAAAGGTGAATCTTCATCTGAAGAAATAATGCTTTGAGATTACTAGGATTAAAGATACATCATTAAAAAGAATTAATTTTATAAATGTGATTTGCGTGAATTTGAATTGAAATGTAAAGCCAAATTAGGTAATATTTGTTATTTTTTTGGATTCTTTATGCTTCTCATCTGATGGTACTACATTACTTTCTGGATATTCATCACCCTACCTGTTTTTGGGAACCAAGTAAATGAATGTAGGGTTCCAAATTAAGTAGATTATAATTATTTTTCATGATCAGCAGACTTCTCTACTACTTTATAAGTTTTTAGATTATAAGATAATAAAAGTTCAAATAAGATTATCATAGTGGGTTTGGTCAATGTAATAATGCTATCAGTTTATGGCATATAAAAATAAATAATTGCTATCAAATCAAATTTATTAAGATAACCTTCCCTAAACTGAATAGAGTAAGCACACTTAAAATTATTATTAGTGTGAATAATATCTAGGATTATACTTAAGTCGATGATGTAGTTATACCAAATTTATCAATGTTCAAGTTGGGTAACATAACAGCTCTGAGGTTTAGCAAAAACTATTAAAAGTAAAGGCTACAGACTAGAATGGGATACTAACTTTAAGACCTTCAATCCAACTTAGGCTTTCTTACATAAAACCTATTTTGGAATATGTAGCTCTTCTAATGAAAAGTTCTTCAATTAAAGAATTGAAAACAGGAAAAGATTATATATAATTAACTAACTAAATCTTCACACTGGCTAAGGCAAACTCAAATCAAATAATAGATAAAATATGGTGTTCTTTTGGTTCCAGACAGGTTGATCTTGTGAGATCTACTCAGGGACAGCATGCTAGAGTAAATAACTTTCCATCTATCTCAAATGGCGAAGTATAAAAGTTGTGGAAAGTATACTACTTGAAACTTTTAGTAATAAAAGAGAGTTATGAAAAATAGAATATAGGTTGAGACTAAAAATATCAATTAATTGATTTACAAAAATAATAATTTACATATCCTTACGAATTTAACAATAATTTATTTTAATGCTAACAAATGGTTATTTTAGTTTGAATTAAAACCAGTGTTTATAGAACATTTGTCTTGAATTTTCTGAAAATAGAGTATTCTCACCTTTTGAAGAAAAAATGAGAGAATATCATCAGAATTTAACACTCGGTTCAACACATTGTTAATTCATTGAATTGTATATTACTTTAAGCAACTCTTTTGCAAAGCTTAATTCTTACTTACTTTATTATACTCTTCAATTATTATAGTAAAAATTTATTCAATTAAAGATTATCTGTTATAATTCTTACATATTTAGAGAATAATAAAAATCCTTTATTCATTGGTAGGCTACTATCATTGATCTCTCTAATATAATCACTTTGAAGAATAACTCTAAATTTTCTATATATTTTCTTCTAATATTATTGACTTTTGAGTTGATTTGGCATATTTTAAATTTCAATTATATTAAACACATCCTAATTATGATATCTTAATCGTTACCTATTTTTTACTCCTATTCTGAGTCGCTCTTAAGTGCTCTCAAGTTTTCTAAATAGATTCATCAAAATTTATCAAAATTATTTTATTTTAATACAAGACTTCCTTTATAGTAATAATCAAAATCATTTCTATTCTAACGTCATTCGTCAATTTCAAAGTCAATTTGACAATTTTCCGATAAGTTTCTATTGGGTAAGTTTGATAATTAGTATAAAAATAATAAAGTTTTATGAAACTTTTTACAATTTTACAGATAAAATTTGGTTTAATTTTGATCTTCAAAATGATAAATATCCTTTAAAAAGATGTTAAAGTTATTACTAGAAAATACCATGCTAATACTTATTTAGTTAAATTAATTTTTTTGAAGATTTAATTTATTAATTATTATATTAAACACTATTTCTAAACACATAAAG